ATTAGAGGAAAAAACAAAGAAATTGTTTTCTTAAGCAGTTCATGATAAACATAGATACTAGTGAACAGCTGAAGAAACACTACTTACAATTAGAGTAAGTACCTATTAGAAACATGATAAATACTGATTTCTATGCTGATGTACTCAATAAGGAAGTTATCTGATATTATTCAAGGATAAAAATCTAGGACATAAATTTATCTTAATTTTATGTCTCAAGGACCTTTATAATTATATATATATAACTAATTATAATCCTGCATATGTTGATTAAAATAATGTGCTTTATTGTTTTACTTTTTCTTCAGTTTTTTTTGTGTTGATGTAACTTTCCAGTTTTCAATCTTATTTAAGATGACTGTATGTATTTATGCCTTCAATGTGTTATGTATACAATTTTTTGATTTTCATGAACTAAGTTAGTTTCAGTGAAGTAATATCTGAGATGTTTTTATTAATTATAATATATACTAAAAATTAATTTTTGATTATGTAATTTAATTATGCACTGCATAAAGTTGTATATTGGTATAATTTAATTATAAATAACTAAAATTAATTAGTTTGGACTTTTCACTTAGCAGAAGTGCTATAATTACTTTTTTTTTAATTCACTATTATCAGACATTGCTTTTTTGAATTAGAAGAAATATATTAATATAATTTTAAAACACTATTATACTTTATAGGAATTTTGTTAGCTCTAGAATTTACATAGCTTTAAAAGAAAATCCTTTATAAATGTTTTTTTTTTGACAGCTAAGAAAATGCTTACTGTTTACTCAATAATAAAAATTTAAGTTAAACATTTGTGTACTTATTTTGAATTATTTGAATTTTTTAATTGAATATTTATAGTGAGAATTTATTAAGAGTTGGAATGTGTGTACAATAATCATTTTAAGATCATGAATACAATTTATTGTATCTCACTATATCTATTTGTAAACTTAATCATAATTTATATACTTATAAACTCAGAAAATTGAAAATATATTAGATAGTATTCTTAAGTATCTGATTTGCATATTTAGATGTTATAAACAAATGAAATATAATTATTTGATTTCTTGCATATATTAATTTTTACATATATATTCTTGGAAAAATATTAATTAAAAACTTTAAGAAAGTATATTAAAAAAAACATATAAATTAATACAATGAATAATCTGTTTTTGTTTGTTTACAAATTGACTAAGTGTATCCACAAGTTTAGACTGAAAATTTACTCTGTTTTAAGTGCAAATCAATGCTGTACTTTTACTTTTCTGCTGTTAACTTGGCCTGGTAACTTGTATATAAGGGACATCAATGCTATTAAATTTTGAAGTACAGAACTCAAGGGGGTGGGAGATGGCAGGGGGTCATGTGTCATATCTTGAGTGGGGTTGGATTTAGTGAAAAGTTTACTCATCATTGGCATTTACAATATTTTTAAAAACTCATCTCTACTGTGAAAATTAAGCCTTTTTTTGCCTTTTACTTTCCCGGCTACATAACAAGGAATTATGTCAGATTTGACCCCCCAAGGTTTTTGCAAGTTTTGAGATATCCTAAACTCAAAAAAGGCAAAAAAATTCTATCTCTGTAAGTGTCGGCACCTATTTTATTTAATGTCTTAGATGAGGTAAAGATTAAGAAATGACATGGTAGATTGTATATAAGGGGTATTGATGCTATTAAATTTTGGTGGTTAAAAGTCAAGGGGATGGGGAGATGGACGGGTGTCTCAAACCATATAAAACACATGGGCTAGAATAATTCTAGCACATGCATTTATATAGTTTAACAAAAATCCTTTTAGTTCTACAATTTTACTTATTTCACCCATGTTTTACATAGCATTTTGATTATTCCAGTGGTCACTATAATAATCTTAGATAATTATATTTACTTTGAAAACTTTTGTACATGTATGTTAAATATATTTTGATACATTCAATAAATCTTACATAATTTTTTGCCAATATATTTGATATAATAGGACTGAAGAGGGGCATTAAGCCCAAAATTGAAATTTTCAATTGTTTATTATTTGCAATTTTGTGAGTTGCTATGGTTTTTCGTTTTCAATGTCATATAGTTATAGCAAATTTTTTGAAAAATATCTAAAGATAGACCAAAACTAAAAATATTTTAGCATTAAATAAAGGAATTGAATTTTTTGGAGACATTGTTTTGTTTTAATAACCAGAAGGGGGTTTTAAAAATTAAAAAGAAGGTTTAAAAATAAATGATGCTGATGAAAATGAGCCTGTAAAATAGCTAATTTAATAATTTTTTTTTATTGATGTTATATTCCCAAATCCATTAATATTATTACTGTTTGTTATAAAAGTATTTTGTGCTTTGGTTAGAAATTATTTATTCATGTTCATTGGCTAATAAATAATGTCAGTGTAATTTATTTGTTCTACAATGTCAATGCATGTATATAGGCTATGTGATAGCTCTTTACATTCTATAATTTTTTGTTTCATCAAACAGGATTTACTTTGCTGCTTATCTTAGATTCATTAACAGAAAAAGTTGGTCGTCTTGTTTAATTTGTAAAATTAATATTTCTTGGTATAAATTCATGCTTATTTATTATTTACTTTTACTTTTTTTTTATAACTTTAAAATAAGAAGTGTTCAAGTTTCTCTTATTTATTTACAGAATTAATATTTTAATTTTAAAAAATGGAAATTTTTTGTGAATATTTCTAAATATATTAATCAATGTCGAAAAATTTCTGAGAAGTAATCTTAAAAGCAGGTGTTCAGCAGGTGTTTGATTTGAGTGTAAACTTTTTTCTTAGAAAAATGTCTACAAAATAATATAATTTAAACATGTCTTTCTTAATTCATTTATTAATTTTTAATATCTTATTCAAATATTTACGATAAATCAAATTACTATACTCTTCATATAGATTTAAATTATAAAATAAATAAATCCAGTTTTTTTTAATTAGAAAGAGAAAATAAGGATATATAAAAAAGGAATTTAAATTAATATTTAAAATTTTTAATATTAATTAAATTATAAAATTTATATTTGATGATTAATTATTTCTTATCTAAAGAGAAATCACTAGAGATCCTTGCATCTTATCCATCTCCAGAGAAACTGATTGATATATTATCTTATTGATCATAAAAAAAGAGAGCTTTTGTTTGTTTCTTTTCATCTGTTCTGGAATGAAATCAGATATCTAATCACACTTTGTCTCTCTTATAACTAGAATAATTATAATTATGAATAATAATTTTCAGGTATATATAGAATAAATTCTATTTTATTATTATTATTACTTTTCTACTGAATTAATTAATATTGGTTTTGATTTCTAATTAGATTATTTATTTTTAAACAAAGATCATTATGTTTATTATATGATTGCAAAGATTTTTATTTTTAAATAACAGGATCTTCTATGCTAAAAATATTATCTTTAGAAATATTAAAATATTTTCAGAATGTAACTGTTAGGAACATAAACATTTTTTAAATGAAATAAAATATTAATAAGACTAATAATTACAAGACTTTGATATTGAGTTATCTAAAGTAATGAGTTCCATTTAATTATTTTTAGTATTGATTAAAAAAATATGCTGTGAATTGAAAATATTTATTTTTTAAAATTTTACATATTGATGCTTATTAAATTATAATGTTTTAAGTAAAGTTTTCTGTAAATTAAAGATTTAATGTATAGTATAATTTAATCATTACAGAATATTTTGCTGGCAAAGCTTTTTAATTTATAAAATAATGCAAATCCTATTGATTGAAAGTTGTCTGGATATTGCTCTATAAAAAGATTGTTTTAAATTTAATATTTTTTATTTATTTGAGAATATTTTACATATACTAGATCATTTTTAAAACTGAACATTTAGAATTTTAAGTAGCTAGAGAAATAATATTGCTTTGAATACAGTATATTTAATTTGAGAATACTGTATATGTATTTAACTTAATGTAAAAAAATAGCCTGAAAGCAGTTCTTCTCCATAACCAATTATTTAAGTAAATTAGTTACTTAAATTATTCTCAGAATTAAAATATTAAAGATTTAAATGCAATACCCAATAACTAACAGATCTATGAATGCCGTCCTCAATTTTCACAAACGTTTGGCCCCAGCAGAATCTGAATTTGCAGTCTGATAAACAAGGATCAGTGTTTTAAGAAAATGTTACAGTATTAATTCTTACCACAAAATAACACAGCACTTCTATAGCATCGATTCACTCTAACATGGTTCGAGAATTGGGAACATCTCCCGTATAGCACTGTGGTTTTATAGCATGGGTTCACTCTAACACGGTTCGGGAATTGGGTAAAACCCTCGTACAACATAAAATATAATAAAGGGTGCATTCTTTTATACCTCCACATAACTCCGCGCGAGCATTCTAATTGTTTTCATGGCTACTTTAAATGCTCTTTCAACAAATAATCCATTTAATGGTTAAATTTTGCAATTGGGACCCATCTTTTGCCTCTAAAAGCTCATTTTAGAATTATAGATTCCTCCACACGATACTATTGATAATGTGGGCACCGCCGCCTTTCCTTCACCATCGTTCCTAAATGCCTACAAACAGCAATGCACTCCCATTGCAGAGCGACCGCTATTAATGAACACACCCACAAACTGTTACCAGTTGTTAATTCTCATGCTGAGATCATCATATAGGATGAATCTCTGGTAAAATGTTTACTTAAATAATAAATAAGTATTTTATCTATGAAAAAAATGAATAATAAATCCGATTTAAATAAGGATTTAACAACATGTTTTTTAATTTTTGGAACCTCACCCCCTTTTACACTAGTTCTTTGTTTCGTATAACATGGCAATTTTTTGGAACGTAACTCCTGTGTTATACGGGGGTTACCTGTATTTATATTCTCATTCATAAATTTTGATATTTTATTTATATAATATATTTCTATATTTTTTAAATTTGAAATAATATATATATATATTTTTTTGTTACAGAAAGTGATTCATCTGAATGGGCTCATGTTATTCCCGTAAGGCAAGTGAGGGATCTTACAGTTACTCTACAGTCTCAATGGCTACTATAAAACAAGAGGAAGCTTCCCGACTAACTAGGCCGACTCCCTACAGCAGAAATTCTAGCTCTACTGGACTTAATTTCAAGAAAAAGATTTCCACAAAACAAGAAATAAAAAGCTATCCCAGTCCTTTGATATATTCTGTTAATAAAACAGGACAATCTAACATTCCACGTTTGCAGTCTTCTACTTTGTCTTCTTCAGAATTTGAAGAATTAGATAGTAACAAATCCTATTTAGATCCTAATTCCAATACTGAAAACATTCATATAATGAATAATAATAGTATTTTAGATGATAGTAACAATAAACAAGAGATTAACAAAATGACAGCCATTCAAAGGCAAACTGCTATTGAAGAAGGTAATGACAACTTTCAATATGATGTAAATAAAAGTTTTGTAGACATGACAAAAAATTCAGATGCTGTAAAAATATCTGTCCAAAGTAAAATTCCTTCCATTTGTACAGCCCAAATTACCGGATTACCTCGCCCTCAAGTTGCACAAATTTCAAATAGAGTTGTAGGAAAAAACATAGATGAGAAGAAAACAATAGATGATGATGACAAAACTAAATCACAAAAGCATTCAACATACATTCCAGTTTGGCAAAATAAATATGGAAGTTCTGATTCTTCTGAGGGAATTCGTACTGATGGTGACAGTCATGATAGCTGTGCAGCTGAAACTTGGGATTCTGGAATTGGAAGCAGTTTTAATGAAAAAGCTAAACAAGAAGATGCCGAAACTTTAAAAGATGTTGAACATTTTGAATCTTTAGAAAGTTCTCCAATATCTCAAAGCAAACGAACTCTTAGTTCAGAAATTGCTAAAGCAACTGATAATTTATCTGAATTAAATGTATCTGCAGATAGCAATCGTAAAAATATGGATGATGAAATTGGAGGAATTAAAAAATGGAATATCTCTACTCCAAAATATAAATATAAAGGATTTGGTTTGAATAAAACTGATAGTGATGGCTTCTCACAAAAGTTAATATCTGGAGTGAATAAAAATAAACTTAAAAATCTTTCATATGATAATCAGCAAACATATGCTGCCTACAGAAATACATTAAGTTACAGAAAAATTCCAGTTTTGAAACAATATACAACAGATTTGACGTCATCTGCAAAAAGGATAGAAGAATTACGAAAAGTTATTTCTGCAAATAAAGATAATTCAAACATTCCTAGAATAACAAGAAGAATTTTGAGTGAAGGTAGTTATTCTCAAAACAAAGATAAAGGAAGCAGTATAAATAAGCAAATTGATAACAAAACTGCAAGCAAAAATACTTCAGAGGTAGCTAAAGATCCTTTAAGTCCAGAATCAGATGAAAAATCAGATAGTAGCACTCAGGGAATATTAAGTCCTGTTTCAGAACTTGAAAATAGAGAATTTCTTATTGATGATGAAATTGCTGATCAGCCTGCTCTTATCTCATTTGAAAATGTAAAAAATAACAGCGTTCCATCTCTTCAGCAATCAGTTAATGAGCTGCATGTTCTTCAGGCAGCTAATGGCATTGATTGCCAAAGCGATACAGGAAGCTTCAGTGCTAAACTAGCAAAAGAAAGAGAGAGAGTAAATTCAGAAGCAAGAGAAAGAGTTATATCATATTCTGATTTGGGATCATCCTCTTCTAGTCTTGCATCTGATGATTTAATGATGGATTATGATAAATCTATTGATACTGTTCTGGAAGAATGTGACAGGTAAGAAATGAATATAATACAATATGAAAAAATTAGATATTAAGAAATTTAATTCTGATATTGAGATATTTGAAATGTTTACAAAAGTTATTTAAAACAATCCTTTTTAAACATTGATTATTTCAAAGTTTTTAATGGTTTTGATATAATAAATCTTAAAATAAACTGTTTAATGAAGATATGCTATTGATACATTTTTTAATTAATGTTGTCAGCAATATAATAAAAAGAAGACATAATTATGTCTATTTTATTTTAAAGCAATCATGTTGAAATTCACATGTTAAATTACATGATATTACAAAATGTATCCTGGTGAAGAATTTTGATTCTTGCTTTATTTCAGTATGACCTTCTGCAATATCAATGCAATGAATGTGCTTGTGCAGCATTTCCTCAAAGACTTTCAGCAACATTTCTGAAGACCACAAGATGCACAGTTGCCATAATTCTGTCCATAAGCTCCTGAATGGAGAGTGGCTTTTCACATAAACACAACCCTTCACGAAATCCTTCACAAAAAAGAAGATATCCGGGCGGGGTGATGTTGGGTGATCTTGATATGCCATGGGATATTATTACTGTATATACAGTCTAGTGTGCAGGAAAGAAGCTATTTAAAATTTTATGAATTTCTTGTATCTCATTGGTACTGCTTTTTGTTTTGTTTATGCATATACCGAAAATATTCTAAAGGATATTGGAAGGCACAATATTTAAAATTATTCACAAGGATATATTTTGTAATTTAATGTGTGTGAATTTCAACATGATTGTTCAAAAATAAAATAGGGGACATAATTTTGGCTCATATATATTATAATATAGTATTGAGGTAACAATAATTATAGCTAGATAATCCAAAAATTGGTTATTTTTACATATCTTCATTAGCCATCAGTATATTGTGTAATCTTTTAAATGCTACATATAGATAACTTCCATAGCATTGATTTATGAATATTAGAACTGTTGGATATAAATATTTCAAATAAGTTCTTCAATTTCTTGCTACAATGCTAGTTATTACATATCCTTAAATCAGAATACTTTTTAATACTTGATTACTTCTTGTTTTTTGTTTTTTGGGAATTAGCACAAAATTGCTATGTAGAATTTATGACACACACAGGAACACTATTTGATGAATAAAATGCTTTATTTTGTACGATGTATAAACGATGTCCTATCGCACATCGTTTATACATTAAAACATTGGGTTAACTGTTAACACTGAATATACTATTACCACCACATATATTATTTTATATATTAACACCATACATATTATTATTGTATTTATTTATAACTTTATTTAAATATTTTAATTATATGTTGTAATACGTAACGATCTTTGTATTCAACATCGTTTAAATGTTAAAAATTAGAACACAGCTATGTTCGAAAACTGTTAGAGAAGCTGTTTTTTTCTGTTCTATGCAATTTTTCCTGACGAGGTCCTCTGAACGATGGCTGAAAGAGTTTGAACATTAAACCTTTTTTATTGTTTGTTTGCTGGAATTATCGCTTAGGTGTAAAGTGGTTGTTTTAGTATATATTTCCAGTTTGTGTTTCAGTTTTTTATGTCTGACTTATTATACCATCAGTAAAAAGAGGACAAACTTTAGAAAAACTTTTTACTCCTTTGAGAATGCATTTCGGACAATTATGTCCCTTTTCAACTCTGTGTGTTACAACTATATAGGGAAAAAATTACATACAAGTTAGCATAATGTATACAAGTTTGGATGTTACAAATGTCTAGCAAAAAAGAAAAGGAACCTTAGTGCTCGTATAATTGAACACAAGACCAGACAAGAAGCGTATCACACAATAGTTAGACCTATCTAAAATCATATCTTTGGGATTAAATTTTTTGAGTTGTGACTTTGTAGAGTGAACTGAATTAAAAAAAAAAAATTAGACACAATATGTTAAATTTTATTTTAATTATCATTAAACATTAAATTATGCAAAAATTAACTTTAATTAAGGAAACAAACGAAATAAACAAGTCACTGCAAAAACAGTGACTAGTTTATTTCATTTGTTTTTTTGTTATAGTTGTTTGCTTTAGAGTAAATGTAATTTTTTAAAATTATATTTGATTTTATACAGTATGAAGATAAATTTTATTTACTATGGTTTTTTGATTTCTGCTGGAAATAACTTAATATTTTTTGAGTTTTTATTGTTTTAAAATTATATTTTCAGTCTTGTAATCTGAAATCTTTTCAGTTAACTTTTGTGTTTCTTCATAATTATTGCTATTAGAATTAAATGTTGATTTGCTATTCAGTTTAATTTGCTTAATATGATGAATGCTCAAAACCATTAAGCTATTTGTGAGAAAATTGTTTTCAATGTTCAACATTTTTGATAAGTTTTCCCTTTTTCAATGATCATTTTCAAAGCCATTTTGAAATCATTCAAGCAATTGATCATGTAATCTTTTAGTACAATTTGTCTGTTTCATTTAAATTTGCATATTCATAAATTATCATCACACTGCTTAAAAATTTTACAAGTTGTAAAATGATAGGATCTAAGGATTTAGTACATTTGTTACCCAAGCTTCAATGATTTGAGATGGAGTTCAGATGTGTACTCCTGCATAAACAATACTTAACTGACCAAAAGATCTGCTGGATTTTTGTTGGGCTATTTAAGCCTGTTTAATAATCAGAAACAATGTAAATTGGCTAGAGATAGGTGATTATGCTGCCATCTCATGATAAATTTAATAATACATAAAGTCCTCATTAATTCGAACTCTGATAGTTCAAAATTCTGTTAGTTTGAAATGTACTATTTGTCCTGGCCATAGAGAGAGATTTACACATTAAAGAATTTGGTTAGTTTGAAATATGGCTACTTCAAAATTTGGAGTGAAAATTCTATCTGAACTGTGATATGCATATGCTAACTCATTCATTTATATCAAAATGCCACCATGCTGTAAGAGAACAATAGATCTAATCTGGTCAATATGGCTTTGGTTTTACAGTAACTCATTTTCAGATGTCATGCTATTCACGGACTACCCTTTTCCCTCTTACCTCTAAAATATGGCTGGGTTACAAGTAGAAGATTGAGATATTTGTAGGGCTTGAGGCTACTATATCTGAGCAACTTACTACATTTTGAGCCACTTTAAAATAATTTTGGCTAACACGTACACTGAACCAATATAATGTGTGGTACGAACGACGAAACAAAAAACAAACGTTTTCGAACCTCTTCTAGGTTCTTCCTCAGGTTCCTTTAGCTTTTTAGCTCGTAAATTCGATATTTCAAATAACTTCGTTCTTGCGATCGAACAGTTCTTTTTTAAAAGATGTGTCGCGCATGCCGTTCAAACTAACGACTGCCGTCAACGAAAGACATTAACGAATGTTGTTTAAATAATTTCTTTCTTAAGATCGAACATTTCTTTTAAATTATCCGTCACGCATGCGTGACATGTCCGCTTGCTCGGAAATAACGAGCAGTTAAAGCGTGTTATGTATCAACTCTTGCCAGGCCATCGACAAGATCATCTCCTCTTTAAAATTTATGCACGTGGTTTCGATAGAGGATTTAAAGATGTGCATCGCCTCTAACCACTTGAGATGTTCATTGGGAGGTGCACCGAGGAGGAGATTCGTCCTATTAAAGTCAGCAACTATGCCCGGGTCTGTTGCGTATGTAGCGAGGGCCGTGCTGGTTCTCCCGTGACGAATGTCTGCCTTATGCTCCTGTATTCTGACACCTATGGATCTTTTAGTAGAGCCTATATATATTAAGTCCCAATTCCAAATTAAATTTTAAAAAATGTCTAAATGATAAATTATTTATTTATAATTATTAAATTTAATATGAGATGGAAGCATAACTGTCTACCTCAAGTGAAATTAATTAACTTCTAATATTTAATTATAGCCTTTACATAGCCCAAGAATTTGGCATATCGTTTGGTGTGTTTATCAGACATATTATCTGTGATTTTTTTTTTTTTTTTGTTTTCTGCAAATCGAATTTGCATTCCAGGTTGGTTCAGTCTGTGCTAAAAGAAATGATGATGATGATTCACTCTCCTTAACAACGTCTATTGTATAATTTTCTTTGAATAAATGTTATACGTAAAATATTTGAGTATTTTTTCAGCATGGAACACATTATCGTATTTTACATTAATTTCTATGGGAAAAATTGTTTTGCTTGATGAGTGTTTTGCATTACAAGTAAGATTCTGGAACGAATTATGCTCATTAAGCGAGGTTTCACTTCTAATTCAAACATAAATGTTGCTTCTTTACTTTTTAGCAAAATAAAAATTAAAGTGGTGGTGATATAATATTTTTATTAATATATTATATAATTAATATATACATTTAAATTTATACTTGCTTTTATATTTATTTTGAATATACAGTGGACCCCCCTATAAACAGGTTCATATAATACAGATTTGTATATAACGGCAAAAATATTGCGATCGTATTCGTATAAACATGCTAAAAGAGACTCGTGTATAATGGTAAAACATCATTGCCGACTCGTGTTGCGACAGGTTTGGTCGAATCTAGACCAATAGCGGATATTGCACAAACCGTTGAGTTTAAATGAGCAGCGGCCCTACTAAAAACCATTTATTATTTAACTGCCATAAAAATTATATTTATATTAATGATGTCTCCAAAGTTCAGTGAATTTTTTGCAGAAAAATAATTTATCAGGAAACACGCGCCCGCTGTTCAATGCGCTGCTTTGCGATGAAAACAAGCTTAAGCAATGGCATCATTGAACGGTGCACACTCGGTAAGTAATCCTTCAATTTTTTGTTTATAGCATAGTTTATATGGATTATTCCAAAAAAATTATGTGTGTTTTGGAAATGTTGAGTCAAATTAGTCTAGAATCGATTAATTTTATGGAAGAAAACCTTTCAAAGAGTCGTAATCCCTAAACTGCACACGTGTTGGGCTGTGATTGGCTCATGTATTTAAGTAATTGTAAAACACGAATTCATATATAATGGAACATATCTACCGTATTTTAGGGGGGTCTACTGTACTTCCTTTTTTGTCAATGTTTTGTTACTTGTTACCCAACTGTAATGTTACCAGTCTTTTATCTTGGGTAAATCTTATTGTTATATGGAGGTAGTAATCTCTGTTCTAAATGGACTTTATTTACTGTATTCATAAATAAATAAATTAAATGAAAAATAAATTATATTTTGTGCAAAAGTTATATTTACGTAAGTACTGTAATGTTGTGGATTAGGGATTGTATACCGGTTTACCGATTTACCGGTTAATCGATAAATTGACAAAAAAATCATTCGGTAAACTTACCGGTAAATTTTAAAAATTTACCGGTAAGTTTACCGAATGATTTTTTTGTCAATTTATCGATTAACCGGTAAATCGGTAAACCGGTATACAATCCCTAATCCACAACATTACAGTACTTACGTAAATATAACTTTTGCACAAAATATAATTTATTTTTCATTTAATTTATTTATTTATGAATACAGTAAATAAAGTCCATTTAGAACAGAGATTACTACCTCCATATAACAATAAGATTTACCCAAGATAAAAGACTGGTAACATTACAGTTGGGTAACAAGTAACAAAACATTGACAAAAAAGGAAGTACAGTAGACCCCCCTAAAATACGGTAGATATGTTCCATTATATATGAATTCGTGTTTTACAATTACTTAAATACATGAGCCAATCACAGCCCAACACGTGTGCAGTTTAGGGATTACGACTCTTTGAAAGGTTTTCTTCCATAAAATTAATCGATTCTAGACTAATTTGACTCAACATTTCCAAAACACACATAATTTTTTTGGAATAATCCATATAAACTATGCTATAAACAAAAAATTGAAGGATTACTTACCGAGTGTGCACCGTTCAATGATGCCATTGCTTAAGCTTGTTTTCATCGCAAAGCAGCGCATTGAACAGCGGGCGCGTGTTTCCTGATAAATTATTTTTCTGCAAAAAATTCACTGAACTTTGGAGACATCATTAATATAAATATAATTTTTATGGCAGTTAAATAATAAATGGTTTTTAGTAGGGCCGCTGCTCATTTAAACTCAACGGTTTGTGCAATATCCGCTATTGGTCTAGATTCGACCAATCCTGTCGCAACACGAGTCGGCAATGATGTTTTACCATTATACACGAGTCTCTTTTAGCATGTTTATACGAATACGATCGCAATATTTTTGCCGTTATATACAAATCTGTATTATATGAACCTGTTTATAGGGGGGTCCACTGTATATTCAAAATAAATATAAAAGCAAGTATAAATTTAAATGTATATATTAATTATATAATATATTAATAAAAATATTATATCACCACCACTTTAATTTTTATTTTGCTAAAAAGTAAAGAAGCAACATTTATGTTTGAATTAGAAGTGAAACCTCGCTTAATGAGCATAATTCGTTCCAGAATCTTACTTGTAATGCAAAACACTCATCAAGCAAAACAATTTTTCCCATAGAAATTAATGTAAAATACGATAATGTGTTCCATGCTGAAAAAATACTCAAATATTTTACGTATAACATTTATTCAAAGAAAATTATACAATAGACGTTGTTAAGGAGAGTGAATCATCANGATTATTTTGTACAAAAATTAGATCAAAATTAGGAGATAAGACTTTAAATAATTTAAGTTTCTTGAGAAGTTATTTTTTAAAAAATGGTAATCAGTAAAATGGTATTAGGTACTATATATTATTTCTGTTTTATTTTTATTTTTCTGTATTATTTTATTTATGTTTCTAAAAGTTATTATTATAGTTTGTTTAGAACACTTTAATTTTTATATTTTTTATATTCTATACCTTTGAAATAGAAAATGTGAAATGGAAATCAAAATTACTTATATTTTTATCACCTTAATTTTATTTTTCAGGAAAAAATTTACCGGTAATTTACCGGTAAACTGGTATTTTAATTTTCATTTACCGAATTACCGGTAAATGAAAAAGTCGGTAAATTTACAATCCCTATTGTGGATTAAATAAAAAAAAAGAAAACCATCAAAATTTTAAACAAAGTTCTCTTGGAACATTTTTTGTTTTTTCCTGCAAAATGAAGAAATCAAAAATAAGTTGGTAAAAGGGCTTTTTGTTTGATTTTATTCTTAAATATACTATTTAATTTATTCAGAATTTTGCCTTTATGAATTTCAATTTTGCTCCTTAGAAAACTTTGCTCAATATACAGGATTTACTTCACTCTAAAAGATAATAGTTTCAGCACAAATTTTCTAAATTCAAGTAGACTTTTCATTTTAATCTCACATATAAATGTTTTTATTATTACAAATTTATATTTTACATCAGTTTGGAGACAATAAAAAATTATTTTAATAAATTTTGTAAAAGGTTAGTTTTATTTCTTACCAAAATATATGTATTATTTATTTCCATTTTGTTTTAGTAATTTCAACAATTTATAAGATAATTTACTTTCTTTTTATGAATGTTTCATTTTGGTTTTTTAAAAAATTAAGATTTGTTTTCATCATTTTTATTATTACTTTTATTTTTGAACAAACTTAGTGTTCAGTCTACCACAGTAAAACATTCTACTACAAGTGAGACTGATAAGCAGTTATATCGGAAATCATATCCAATGGTAGAAGAGAAGAGGTAAAAGAAATGAAAAATCATATTTCATATTGAAAATGAAGAGTATTTTATCTGACTAGCATATCTTTTTTATTTATTGCAGATCACATTTATACAGAAAAAATTCAGGCTCTCTGAGTGGAAATAAATCTGTAAGTAGAGCAGAATGGCGCAATCGTTCTGCTAGCTTACCTTTACGACCACCTCGTCCAATGGCAGTAACTGAAATTGAGGATGGAAGTGTGAAATTAGATGCTTCTTCTTATCGACTTCTTAGACAAGACCTTAATGGAATGAAAACGATGCTCTTGAAATTGAAAAGGATTTTACATGAGGTTATACTTTAATAACCAAACTTCCAACAAATAATTAGCCTAATGAATTTTAAACTGAATTTTATTTTATTTCAGGCTGAAACTCTAAATCCATTTGATCCAAATCCAAAAGTGAGTATATTTTTGTAATTTAATAGATTATGAAAATAAGAATAGAATGCTATTTTGTATGAAGTTTTAATTTTAATTCAAACTCTGCAAGCCTAGAATATATTATACAAAAGTTGCTATTTTGTTTAATTTTAATTAAACTAACTACAATATGTTGATGGCACATGGCAAAGACAGTAAAAGATACCATCAGCTTGTTGCTACAAGTGGCCCAGATTTGAGTCTGGATTGATTCAGAAATTTTCATGAATGGATTGACCACAGGTACATCAGATCACCCTGACCTGGTTGTGCCTTCATTGGCTGTGATTCTAGCTTAATCCATGACTAAAATGATCAAAAAACCTCTTTAGTGCTTGCAGGATTTTAAAAAGTAGAGTGTAGAATAATAAACAAAAATATTTAAAAAACAGTTTTTTTTTTTTAAATTATCAATTTTTGATATTTTAAGATTTCTGTATTTATATTTCTAAATCAATAATATCAGAAAATCTAAATTTCAAGAATTCAAATAAGAAAAACATTTAAGAAGATTAAATCCCCGATGATAGTAATTTGAAAAATAAATACCTTGTCAAAAAATTATATAAAGCAATAATATATAAAAATTTCAAAACAAGGATACATTAAGCCTATAACTGTTCTATAAGTATTATGAAAAATAACAGATTAGGATAAAATTTTATTTTATTGGTTCTTAACATTGTCAAGCTAAATTGATTCATTTGATGGGATAATAAACTGATTTTTTCAAAGTTGATTATTTGGAATCTTTAAAAATCTTGAAATAAAAATGACACTATACAATTCAAGGAATTGAAACATAGTTTATTCCAATTACCAATGCATACATGTAAATGAAAGACATCGGCCGTACACAATGTGTTTAGCTGGCAGAAAAGAGGGGAAGGGAAAGGGGGAAGGAGGGAGAGGAGATAGACAGTAGAGAAAGGTAGGCTCTCTGAACAGCATATGTATGGCTACTGTACCCTCTATGTTTGATACATTGGTGTGCAATTTTTAGGCCACAAGGCCATAGTCCCCTAAAGGGTCTAAAAGAGATTTTTTACAGTCCATTATTTCTAATTTCATCTTTAATTTCATATTAGAAAGCATAGGAGAAATAAATTAAATTAAATAAAATCCTTTTAAATGATTTTATTAATACAGTCAGATCCGTTTATAACAGAACCTGTCCAACATGTAAATGGAAAGAAAAATCAGGCCATATAATGTAAAAATCACTATTTTTATCTGATTTAACACACATTTAACAAGAAGTTTACAAGCTTAGTACATATAAATCATAAAAAAATCAAAAAATACACATACCCAATACAGAATAGCAAAATATGACTACTTTTTTACAGTAATTTTATTGAGATTTGATCAGAAAGTTTTTGCGTATTTTTACTAACAGCTTTTTTATGTAACATAAAAATGTGATGTAATTATAAGTTTTTAACACATTGAAATTTAACACATTATTTTTGATGTGAGATTTTATTCTTTCTTTTGAAGCTTATTTTAAACTTTTTTTACATTGCATTTCAGTTGAATAAAATCAAGTCGAAATGTCTGCAGATAAAATAATGCACATCGGGCATATTATGCATGCTTTTTAAGTTTCGTAAAGGATCTCACACTATACACACAGTAAAAAATACTCATACCATGTATGTATGGGGAAGATGCTTCAAAACTCTGAATGTATCAAATATGATTTTTGAAAGTTTTGTTTGGGAAATTTTGAACTAAAGGATACAAAATTATTGGCACCCAAGAAACTGATTCAATCTCTCTAATTTCATCTGCAGGTTAAATCAATATACAGGAGAGCCTCATAATTCAAATTCAATTTATTTCAGGAAGCTGTTCAAACTCTGAATCATTCAAAGTCTGAAGCAATTTTTCAAGTTAGAAATAATGGAAAGTGAATTAATCCATTTCCAAACCATAAACAATATGCATTTTGATAAAGTTAAAACAGTAAATACACATAATTTAATGTAAAACTAACACAATTAAATGTTCTAAATAGTAAATTAAAAGCTGTAAACAGTAAATTAAATACATAAATACAGTACAACAAAATGAAAATTGCATTTATTGTTTGCATACTGTTCACGTCAGCATATCGTAAATATTGCTGCCGAATCCGCCACACATTTTCAAGCTTTGCAATGACTTTCTTTTTTACCTCAACCTTCAATATTATAAATTACCTATTAGATTTCATTCCTTCTACACATTTCTGGGATGCCATGCACTAAGCAAAGTTTATATTGAGTCAAACAAAGTTTTGGATATTTTTAACAGTTTTTATTACTTAATTAATATAGTTGTGTGATTTAATTATAATACTTGTGAAATTTAACACATTACTGCTAACTTGAGATTGTACTCTTTGTTCAAAAGCTTTATCTTATGCTTTGAGTGCATTTTTTTATTGCATGCACAGTTCAAACTGAACCATTTGAAATCATTCCTTCAAACTACAAAGTACCATTCTAATAATTATATTAACAGATCGTTGTTACAATAGAGTAAAATGAATAAAATAATATTTAAAAGACTAGAAGCATTAATTAATTAATTTTAAATGATTTCATTTAAAATTAATTAATTAATTAAATTAAATAATTAAATAATATAATTAAAATTCAGTAACTAAAATCAAGGTACTATAAAATAAAAGTTTATTTCAGTCTGATTAAATAATTTAACTGGTGTAAAAAGCATAATTTATATCTCTATAGATTTTCATTTTATTAATATATTAATAAAATAATAATAAACAATTTTATATTCATGTAGAGATTTTTAAATTCAGTTTTGAACTTCTGTAAAGAAAAGTTACTTAACATCCTGAATATATTAGACAAGAAAAATTTGTCAAAAAATTATGTATTTTCAGAAGTTTAAGAATCTTTAATATATTTTAATTATACAGATTGTATAATACATATATTTAGTTAAGATATTTTTGTTTCAGAATATGTTTTATCATAGTTTGGCCCATATTGATATACCAACAGGATGTCTTCCAAATTCAGAATCTGTTGAAGAGCATGCACCTTCTGAAATTGCAGAGGTTATGCAGGTATATTATTTTACTGATTTCATTCTATTCTGTAAACTGTAAAATATGATTACATTGTAACTTTATAAAACTTTTAAAAAATTCACTTTATTTCAACATTTTATTATTGGCAAAATAATTTGCTTAGAGAACTGTAAGTTTTGCTAAAGCATTATTATTAATAACAAAAAGAAATGTTCATGCAAGCACTTTTGACATTTACAAAAATGTCATATGTTCTTTTGTTTTTTTGTCTAATGAAGACATTTTTGTAAATGTCAGAAGTGCTTTCATGAGCATTTCTTTTTATTATTAAACACAAGTAATACTGAAAAGACAGTGTTTTCAGTACTACAGTAGACCCCTATAACGCTTAGATACGTTCCACGTTAATCAAATTTTATGTTGTAGGAACGATTAAATACATGAGCCAATCGCAGCCCGATAGGTGGGAACTTTACAGACTAAGGCTGTTCGAAAGGTTTTCTTCTATAAAATTAACCGATTCTAGACTAATTCGACTCAACATTTCCAAAACACGTATAATTTTTTGGGAGTAATCCGTATAAACTATGCTATAAACAAAAAATTATAGGATTACTTACCGAGTGTGTACCGTTCGACTACGCCCGTTGTTCAAAGCTTGTCTTCGTCGCGGAACAGCACACGAAACGGCGGCCGCGATATCTGATAAATAATTTATCGCAGAAAGATAACTTGACCTTTGGAGACATCATTAATATAAATAATTTTTATGGCCGTTGAATAAGAAGTGTTTCTTTCACAAGAAATGTATAAAATTAGTGCTGTATTAGACTTACGGTACCTAATTTACATACTGTGCAGACGATAATAAACTCAACTTACTAGCCTAAAATCTCCGTAGCGTGTTGCCAGGCGGCAGAAAGCATATATATAATTATAATAAAGTTACAATAAATTAAGTTAATATATAATTATATATACAGTACCTAATTTATATATAATTAATATATAATTATATGTACAGTACCTAATTTATATATAATACTAAACAGACGATAGCAAACTCAATTTAGCCGCTCCGTAGCGTGGCACAGGGTCGGAGGTAAGTAGTTCGGCTGCTCATCCACTATTGGTCCAGACTCTATCAATCTTGTCGCGAAACGACGTTATAGGAGGTACGTTATACGAAAGTTTCTACAATTTTTTCGCTATGTTATAGGAATTGTCGTTATAGGAACGTACGTTATAGGGGGGTCGACTGTATTTACTTGATATATATGGCTTTGGCTACTACAAACTATATAAATTACATTTTTCAAAGGAATATAGTCAAAAGAAGCATGGTCCAGATGTGTAAATCGAATGAGTTGCTGAAGGTGTCATTCTATGCTATGGCCTTGTGTTGTAAAGAAGTATTTTTGCTATATTTTTATAAAAACAAACCCCTTTTGAAAGACTTATTAAATTTCTATAGAGCTGATAAATACTGTTTTGTTTGCTTTTGTGAGGAGCCAGGGTTAAGGCTTGCATCTTACCAGCGATGGTTTGGTGGAAACCGCTCATGTTGTCTGTGGATGGCGTGTTTCTTCTTGGCATGGTTTCCCGAATTTCGGGATCGGCTTGTCAGGTCGAGTGGGGAGTGAGAGGGGTTGTTGATAAAACGCGGCAATACGTGAGTAACAGACATCATTAACAAACAGGCAAGCAAACATGAAAGTTTAATGATTAACTAAAATCTAACAAAAGCTACACGAATACGGGTACAAAAGTGAGTAATAAGCTGTGTAGAATGGACAGTAAGGGGTATTTGAGCTACCCCAAATTTTTCGATAACAGAGGGTGAATCTGAGAAAGAGTTTACAGGTTGTGAAACATCCTACCTCTTTCCCTTTTCCATGATTTCGAGCGGGCACCAGAGATCTTTTGGCAGCTTGATCGGGAGTAGTTGTTCCAAGGGACAATTGCCCCGAAGTGGATGTGTGTCGTTCTTATATTCCTTTTTGGCCTGGGGAAAATGATTGGTTATCGAGTGTTTTTGGAGACAAAAGTTGATTTTGCAGGTGTTGGGTCATAGGTGGTCCGGGGAGACAATAAGAAGTTGTTGAAATGGGACATATAGTGTAATCTTTGGTTCGTGAAATGTTAGATTCATTCTGTTTATTTAGTTAAATGTTGACATTCTTATTCTCTAACAATAGATTGTTATACTTTCTTAGTGTTTGTTGATGAGGACGATGACATTCAATCCTTTTTCTGTGCAATGTTTTGTTAACAATCACGAGGGAGAAACATATTAAAAAATTTCCGTAAAATAGAGCAAAATCAGGTTCTCCATCTCACACTTTTATATATTTTTTCAGTTTAGTTTCTAAAAAATATGAAAGCAAAAAAATATAAGACACCATTTATAAAAAGTTACTTCATTGCATTGTAAGTAATGAAAAATGCTACAGTTTTGTGTGTATTCACATACACTTGATAACTGCAGCATGCAAGATATTTTTTTCTAGTCATATCTGAACATGAAAGTAAACATGTTACATTACTTTCTGGATATCCATCACATGTGGAAAAAGGACCAAAAACTTTGATTTGTTCTGTTCATTCAGATGATGAGGAGGAGGAGTGAATTATTGAAAGTGCTTGTGATAAAATTTTGAAAAATAAATGTGTTTGTGATTCAGTTGTTAATTTTAACACTACAGACAGTTCATTTTGTATTTAATGGTATATCTTGATTGAGTTTGTATTGTCTTTAATAAAAAAAAAAACTTAGATTATTTTTTCTAAATTACTAGATCAATGTACAATTATATTTATTTTGATATGTTACTGTTATTTTATATTAAGGTTAATAAAAAACTGATAAAATAAAAATTTATGGTAACTTATCAGTGCATTTCTGAAAATTTAAATCTTCCTAACAAACTATTAGTGTCTTTATATAATTTCAGGAAATGTGATGAAATTCTAATCAACAAAATTCAAATTTTTTAAATGACTGATTTGATCACGTATAAATTCTCTAATAATATGTCATGTAACATTTTACATCATCATTATTTATTAAAGAAAACTTGTTGAAAATTNGAATGCTAAGTGAATTTAATTATTTTTAAAATATAAATCGTGTAGTTGTAGGTTCGCTGGTGCATGTATTCCGTTCCAGAGACTTAGGGGTACGTATTAATCTGTGTGATTTTCACGTTTTTAAAGTTTGGTGCCGACAGGAATTCAGTTAACCCAAGATGGAGATGCGTGAAATACGGACCCCGTTGGTGCTTTTAATACGGAACCCAACTCCCCCGGTGTTCAGTATTACCAACAAATTCAAACCATAAAATAATGTTTTTACGTTTTGTTTTATTTACGAAAACATTTTTTTAATTTAAATACTATCTTAACAAGAAATAAAATGTAAGATAACAATCGAAATAAACATTTTTTTTCACGAAAAGAAATATCGCCCGCTTACAAAATAGCGAAACTGAGCATGCGCGAAGTGACAGTATCGTCTGGTAAAGTAAATAGTCTACAAGTAAGTTGAAACTTTTATGTTTATTTATTTGAAAAATAATAAATGTAGCAGTTGTGATAAATGGGCACACTGTTCTTGTGCCAATATTGAAGTGATGATGACTCTTCTTTTGACATGACTGGCTTTAAAGATGACACTGCTTATCTGTTTGCAGATAATAATCATGGGCAATGCCCAATATGCGCTATGTGGACACATAAAGATTGTGCTGATGTTGAAACGGAGCATTATATTTGTCATTTTTTTAAATGATTAGCTTCTTTTTTGTACAATTCTTTATTAGTATTATTAATATTATTAAATTATTTTTGCGTTAAAATAAATCGGAGTAAATGATTTTGTAATTCGTTAACATTCTTTGTACTTTCCTATTCGTTTTTGGCTACATTAAAGCATTTTTTGAAAATATACTGTAAGGTTCCGTATTACCACCCGATTTTCTCTAAGCCAACTTTCTGACTTTTTGTACAAAAGCCTTCAAAAATCATACTTATAGTTACACTAGCGAAAAATCCAATTAGGAACATTTAGTTTAATAGTTACAAGTACTTTTTGCACAAAAACTGTGGATGTAGTTATGATACCTTGTTTACAATTCACTAAAATGTAATTGTGTTTTTATAATACCGCTTTCTCCTCTACGTTTTGAGATTTTTTGTCTAGTACTGTATATAAATGACAGAATGTTTTTAAATTTTTTTATTAAATTTTATATTATATATATTTTCTGAGACACAGAGGAAAATATAGACTACACGAGAATCTCCACACTCTTTAATTAACATTCTTTATTAACTTTTAATGCCTTTGCTCGATCTGCACCAGATTTTTTACACATTTCCTTGGGACATAGACGAATCTGCACACTACACGTGACTGTCACATGACTACATGACGAGTTATGAATGTCTCATAAGATATCTTAAAAATTATTATCTTATAAAGTTATGTGCAACTAAAAAATACTCGAAATCTCATTTTAAAAAAAACTGCTGAAACCAGGTTGAATACATACATCTCGACAAAAACATCATAATAAAGGTGACTGTTTCCTCCAAACCTTGCTGTAGTTGTAGTCTATGTAATGTGAACTATACTTACATCAACAGTCTTACTGTCAAATCTTCCACTATTCTTATCCCTTAACAGATGATTTTTAACTGATGCTTTCACTATTCTTATGCCAGAACATTTAAAAGTTTTTCCATATTTCGAAACCGTGTTGTGTCTTTATATTTATTTTTTAAAACCATAATTTAGCGTAATAACCAACACTTGGCACAACATTTGTTTATTTCAGTTTTTGTTGAACAGCAAAAACTGAAATAAACGAATGTTGTGCCAAGTGTTGGTTATTACGCTAAATTGCGGTTTTAAAAAATAATAAAAAAAAATAACCATTTATTAAATGCTCATAGATTACTTTATTTACTGAAGAAAAAAACCCTAAAATATACCATGAACCCTAACACATACAATCTGACTCAACAGTAATAATAAAACTGCTAGATTAAGGGTAAAATTTTCTAAATTAGCAACTTTGTTATTACCATATAGATAAATGCAAGGTGATTCCACTTATTGTATAAACAAAAATATCATGTAACTTGTTCATTGACACAGCAATGCAATGTGAAATAAGCCTACACATGTAAGAGACTAATAAGTGAAGCAAAGTGTTTCAAAAATACAAAAACAAATGATTTTCTTATTTCTATGTAAAGGAGATGCTCATCAGACCTCTGGAACATTGAAATTGAAAAATTCAAACAAAACTTGTGTAAAGTTTGATCAAAAAGTTTACATTTACAGTTCTGTAACTCTTATGATACAGTTAATATAATTACTTCCATTTTGTGTTGAATTTAAGATAGAAAACTTTTCCAATTTGATAAAAAGCAATTAATGTTTAATGGATAGGCATATTTAAAAATTCAAATTGAAACATTATAACTTACTTACAATATTTGATTTATTTCTGTTAAGTTATTAGATTTAAAAGCTACAAACTTAAAAGGTAATTATTTTAAAAAAATTTAAGCTTAAAATTGTATGAGAAAACATTTGATAATTTTTCTGTGGCCATAAATAGTTATTAAACTAACACTTCTATCATATCTTGGTACTCTTTTGATCTTAGAAGGTTCTTGTACCAAAATATCACAACAGAAATTTTTTGTGCAATATTGTACAATAATTATCTCATTGACTGCTAAGTTGTTTTTGCATTATAAGATTAATAATTATAATTTTAAATGATTATTTTTTTAAAATTTGAATTTTAAATTTTTGAAGAAAACTATTCTAGAGAAATTATTAAAGATGTTTACCATTAAACAGAAATATTTTAAATTTAACAATTTAAATTAAGTCAGAATTAAGTGCTATAATTGAAACGCCAATAGAATTAAAATAATTAAATAATTGAAGTTTTTATAATAATGTAGTGTAACAATTTAAAATTAAATGAAATATTTTATTATTAATTTGTCCAGTTCATTATAAGTTGGGTACACTGTAAATGTATACTTGATACTTCATGAGCTTATTAATGAGCTTTGATCCAAAATATTAAGGAATTTCATTTTTCAATATAATAAAATTTTAATATTTTAAAAGGAATATTTAAGCACAGTTACTTCAAAAACCTATATATTTTGCAATAATTAAAACAACAGCTTTGTCATTATATTTTTAGATTATCTTATATAAAAATAAAAATTTGAAAGATATGTTTGCTATTTTCTGATTAAAAAATACACCACATTTTCTCATGTTATGATCATATCAGTATATAAATATAATTTATAAAATGTATTGAACAAACAAACTTATTATTAAATTTCAAACTTTTGCTAATTAATCTTGTTAATGAATACAATTTTTTGAAAAAATTCCATGTACTTTCAGATGTTTTTATTATATTATAATAAACTAAGTTGAAGAGAGAATCTCTAGAAAAAATTGTTACTATGATTTAAAAAGATTAATTTTTAAATTGGCCTATAAAAAGATCCTGCACAATTTTTATGGCTTTTGGCCCTTGATGATGATAGCTGAAATTTAGTATGTTATAATTCTTGTCTAATTGATTAAAAGTCTCAATGGGCATGAAGCTTGAAAATGATTAGTGTTTTTGCTAGGGCCACCTTTAAAATGGAAATTTTATTATTATTAGGATAATTATTCAAATCAGTCTTTTTGATTTAGGCATTAAGAGATTTTTAGATTAAAAAAAAAATGATGATTCACTTATAAATATCAGAATTTTTTGAGCATATATGAGGGAATCACATTAAAGCATTATTTAGTTATTTGTTCATAAGAGTGGAGTGTTTCTATAAAAATGTTAAGTATAATTACTAACATTGAAAAAATTTGTTAGCATATACTTGTTGAACAGATTTTTATAGTAATGAGAAATACTAAATTTTGTAATAACAAACATATGATACTAATTTCAAATTGTAGTGTTTTTCTTTTTTTTTACATATTTTAATGGTTATGTAAATTATTTTTCTTGTATTACATATTATATAAAAAGTGCATTTTAAGAAAGAGATGAAAGACTGCTTTTTTAAGGTAATTAAACTTATTTAATTAGCATAAACGTTTGTGGCTCTTCTTGAGCTTTCATTATTTCTTGTAAGAATTTAAGAAATTTCTGTAAAACATAGTATCAATGCCTATTTTTAAACAATCAAATGCCCACATTAAATTGAAAGAAGCAGTTTTTGGTCTCTTTCATACATTAAATTCCATAAATCTTGGCATCAGTCTCTTTCATATTGTTTGAAAGAGATTGATGCCAAGTTTTGTGGAATTTAAAACAGTGTATTTTAATTTTGGAAAAGTATAAAATAAAATTTTGTGAAAAACTAATTATTGCTAGTCAAAAATTGTTCAAAAATATCACACAAACAACGTTTTCACTTTCCAGCACAATTATTTAATGTTTAGAAAAACATCTGTGTGATTTTTTTTTTAATTATTATTTTCCAGTTTGGTTTTTCTTTTTTCATACAAAAATTGTTTCTATATTTGTAAAGGTATTGATTAGAAATTAATGATTCCTTTTTCTTGAAGTGATAACATTTCCATAATCACAACAATGTTATGCATTGTTTAAAGTCAATTTGAAAATAAGACGTATACGTTAGAAAATATGGTAGTTTTTATAACAATTTACTAAAATTTTAGGTTTTACTTATTTATAATTAAGGCTGTATAAAATATTCTGGAACATTATAAAGCATGTTTTAAGTTATCAGTTGGAAAAATCCAGACACATTACAGGTATACTAAAATGACCTTAGACTTAGATCTTGTTTGAGAATATATTAGCATATTTTGAGGTTTCAAACACACATGAATAATATGAACACATTTTTGGAAAATGTTCAGAATATACAAACATTAAAATACTATTTTAATGAATTAAGTTGTTGAAATTAATTTTAAATTAAACAAGAACATTCAAATTAAGAGGTGGTCTGCATCTTCACTTAACAAAGGATCACCTAACCTTTTAAAGGGTTTCTCAAGGAGTATTTTAAGTAGAAGATTCCCAATCACAGTGTGTGAGTATTTAGAGATGCAAGTATGTCTTGACACACTTGTATGTGTAAATACTCTGATGAAGCATACAATGATACAATTGAGAAGATAAGACAGCCAAATGTTCTTGTCTTTATTAGGCTGCTTTGACAAAACTACAAACTATAAAGACAACTTCATTGTTTTATTGATGTTTTAATTGTAGTTATGTCACCAGAAGTGAAAGATTTTAAGCCATTTTTGATATTTTTGGGTCTAATGAAAGACTATACACATTTAAGTTTTAATGAAAACATTAAGTGATATCTATCAAAACAATATTCTTTATGAAAACACTTACGTTTAGTCACTAATGGTATTGAACAATGCTAAAAGTTGGTCACTTATTATGCAAAATGTTTCCAAAAATAACTTGTGTGTTGTTTGGCACTTTCAATGAATTTAGTTGCTGATAATATTTAAAAGAACTTTTCTGTTGCTAATAACTATGTCAGAAATTGCAAGCAAATTCTGGAAAAAACCTCATTGACAAGAGTTTACTCACAGAAATTTTTGTTGATATTTCTCTTCTACTGAAACTGGTCTTAATAAGATGGGACATGGATCAAAGCTGTTAATTTTCATGCCGAACATTACAAAAAGTTCTAGAAAGTAAAGCATGAGGAAAGTCTAACCATTGAAAATCTTATCAGTTTAACTTAAATATCAGTCTTATCAGATACCAATTTTTACATACAATCAGATTATTTATGTTTACTCAAATTTGTCTTTTTTTACTAGACAAGTTTGAAAATCACTGCTTGACAATTAAAAATGTATTCAATACAATGGATACTGTTCAAACTTATTTACAAGATCAGAAAGAACGTTTTTACAACATTTACTCAAGTTATGAATGAAAATTTTCATCTCAAATGTATCTGTAATATTTTGAACTGCTTTAATGCTGAATATGTTTTTCTTAATATTGATTTTGGCAATTGAACAAAATAGTTTTATATTTGCTCGACTATTGTTAGTAGAAATGGAGAGATCTTTTTCTCACAGTAAAAAGCAATACTGAAAGATAATTGTTTGAGCTATAATCCTGATAATTTTAACAAATATATTGTCACGAATCATAACTGAGAGATTCAAAAATAAAAGATTAATATGAGAATATTTTCAGGATTTCATCAAGCATAATATGTTCATAAAGCAAGTTTATTTAGAATATATTTTTGCAGTCTTATTTATTATTTATTTTAGAAAAGATGATTAAAGTTAGAAATTTGTCTGCAAATTTTCCAAATAAATTCCCAAATGTAAACACAATTGATTAAATTTTTTTTTTTTTTATATAATTTAAGTCTCGATTATGGACAAACAACTTGTCACAAGAATTATCGGCGGATGATGCTTCAAATGGAACATTAGTAAGGTGAGATTGTTGCTCTGAATTATGCAGTTTGTTAGAAAGAAAACAGTGTTTTGTTTGCCTGTTTTCATGTCTCAAAATTTAATTTCTTAAATGTTTGATTGTGCAAAATTGCTTGTGAAAGTTTTGTGATAACTATAGCTTAATGTGTACCTACAGTTTGAATAATGCTGTTAAAAAATTACTTATAAAATTTAAAAAATTTTCAAAGATTTGAAAATTATACTGAAATTAAATTAAATTAGTGACAATTTAATTATATTCTATAAAAATTTTGAATTTTATATTGGTATACTTTAAAAGAAATTGGACTTATATGAAAATTATTTGCATGATCGAAATTATTTTATTGTGATTTTTTAATTGATAGTAACTATATTTCATTTTATGCAAATTCCTGGACATCAGTTTCCGGATCGGCAAGGTAGGAATCTTTTGATTTTTGTTTTTTTCCCTTATACTATCAAAAATATTGAGACTCACTGCATGCTTGTTTGTCAGGCATTGATTGCACATTATACATTTATTCAATAGAATATCAAATGAAGAAACATTATCAAACATGATTATTTTTTATATACAAATAATTTTGTAATTGCTTACTTATGATTGTCCATAATTGAGATTTGTTACTTATTGTTTGCTTAAATATTAAATATTTTGCATATTTAATTGCCTTTTGTTTTGCTAACATTTTACAGATATTAAAACTTTTACAAGGTTATAAGTGTTTGCTTTTTATGTTAAATGTTATAATTTGGATGAAGTATTTTGCATATGACATTATTGTTTTGTGTATGTTGAATATTTTGTGTAATATTTTATATTAATTTTAATGCAGTTGATTCTTCAAAAATCTTAGTTTTGCTAACAAAATCTATAACAAATTGGAGAAATTACAATATATTTTTTTAAATGTACCAAATTTTCTTTACTCTTTAACTTTTTGCATATTGTGAATTTTCTTCTGAAACTTGATTATAATCATACTGAGTGATTCAGAAGTTTACTTGTCAGAAATAGATTTGGTGTCACTGTGAGCCAACCATCTAGAACACTTATTTAAATGTAGTCCCTTGAATCCATAGTAAAGTGCCTTGCCAGCATCAACAAATCTACTCCTTGTGAGTAAAATTTACATTAGATCACCCCAGACACATATTGTTTGATATTAAAACTATTAAGCATCTGTTTAATCAGTCATAGATATTAGTTTGTGTGCATTTAAGTGCCAGTAACCCATTTTTTTAGATAATCCATATTATATTAAGACAAAAGAACTGCTATTAAGTTATCATTGCTTAATTTTTGTAAATGATATTTTAAAAATTTAATAATTATTTATTCAATATATGTAAAATCAATATTATGTATATAAAAAATTATTATACAAGTTTTAACATGGAGAAGAAGAGAATTGCAAAATAATATGAAACACCAGGGAGAGTTCCTAATATTAGATGAGTATTCTGTTTGGATTTTAAATAGTAAAACTTCTGTTGAATATTAAAAAAACTGAATGAATGAACTGTTAATAAAATGAAAATTAACTGTATGTCATTATATGTTAGTTTTGTGTCCATTGAAAGTAAGCATGCAATAAACAAAATTAAGAAAATAAAACCTTTAATACTCATCCAGAAAAAAATTATAAGATTCTTCTTTATCTGTGATAATAAGCCACTTGCTGGATTCAAGGAGGAAAATTTTATTTTAACTTAGGGATTTCATGTCTATTCTACCCAAGTACATTTAAAAACTAAAAAATTACATAAAATGTAATGCAAGAATAGCTATTAAATAAATGTGAGAAGTGAGAATTTATTAATATAACATTCTCTATGTGCTGAATGTGGACTAAGCATCTGTATCATTTACATAACCTTCTCTTAAGGTGTGTCTGTAAATGCTTTTTTACAATAAACCTATTTTTAGATCTTGAATAAAGGCCAACATATTCTTGACTTCTTAAGATACACAAAATCTCAAAAACAAACTCTTCTAATTCACTAAAGACTTAATTTAACATTTTGTGAATGTTTTTAGAAGTTTTGTTTTTAAATACATCATTACTTGAGAATTAAGTCTAAAGACTTTAAAAGTATTTATATAATTTTAAATTAAGACTTGTTTGATTAAATTAGCAGTGTTTTTATTTTTGAGACTTTGTAAATATTTTTAACTGAGTAGGAACTGAGTACGTGTCATTTGGTTCCAATTGAAACAAAACATGTTTTATGTTTAGGTTTTGGTTCTTTTTAGCTAGAATATCATGTTTATATATACATTCATCCACACACACTTTGGACATTACATTATACACTGCTGGCCATTAAAATTGCAACCCCAGAAAGGAATGATCATACGAACGTCAAAATCATATGAAAGGAAGAAGAAGTTGGGATATGCAAATGATTAATATTTCAGCACATTTAGATGATGCAGGAGGGACAAACAACCTCTGAAGCACTGCATAAAAGAAAAGTTGTGCAGTGGATTTCTCATTCAGAAATTACTTTGTAAGGTTGGGATTTCATTAGAATATCGTATTATGCCTCGAATAACAAGAAGAAATGCTTACCAGCAAGTGTTGGAATTCAATTGAGGCAGGATCATTGCCTATCGAGAGTGTGGATTATCGTTCTGTATGTAATATTGCCACCCGCACTGGTCGAAATCCAACTACTGTCATGCGAATATGGAATTGATGGGTTGCTGAGGGTCTTACTGAACAACATTCAAGATCTCAATGCCCTTCCGTGAATAATGCCCGAGAGGACAGACATATTGTGAGGTCTGCTGTGCAAAACCATGCAACCACATCACGGACCATTAGTCAGGAAATGAGCTTGTTCGCAGCATGTCCAGTATCTGCTTGTATGGTGTGACGATGTTTGCAGCAGCGTGGACTGTCAGCACGGCGACCATTACTTCGGCTTCCCTTGACAATGCAGCATAGAGAGAGACAGCAACTATGGTGCACCCGATGACAAAGCTGAATACAGGAGTGGCAGAATGTCGTCTTTTCAGATGACTCCCAGTTCTGCGTGCAGCATTCTGATGACCGCATAAATGTCTGAAGGCTCCGAGGAGACCGCTTGTCACCTGCTTGCATTCGATATCAGCATAGGGGCCCTGCACCTGGTGTGATGATATAGGCAGCCATTGGGTACACGGCACACACATCTCTAATTTGAATCGATGGTAATTTTAACACAGATCGGTACATTTCTGACATCTTACATCCACTGGTTGTGCCCTATCTTCGTGGCCTGCAAAATGCCATCTTCCAACAAGATAATGCAAGACCTCATGTTGCCCGTCGTGTTCTGACCTTCCTCAATACAGAGGGTATTCGATTGTTGTTCTGGCCTTCATGTTCTTCAGATCTCTCACCAATTGAAAACATCTGGTCATGGGTTGCTGAGAGACTGGCCTGCCACCCCTTTCCAGCTAATACGGTTGATAAAGCGTGGCATAGACTTGAAGCAGCATGGAATGAGTTGCCCATTTCTGTCATCCAAGCCAAGTTTGACTCCATGCCTAACTGGATAAGGGCTGTTTTAGCTGCCAGGGGTGGCAAATGTGTGTACCAATTTCGCACCCCTGTAAACCCCCAAACTGCTTGCAAATTTACTTATTTTGTCTTCATGCCATACTGTTTACATACAATAAATATCGTCTTTTTATTTGCTTTCCTTCTTGGTGTTGCAATTTTAATGGCCAGCAGTGTATTAATTTTCTCTCTCTCTCAACACTCTACAAGAATAAAACATAATAGAAAAACTGTTACTAGAGCATAAAAATTGGAAGCAATTTGAATGAGTTTTTTTTATAGTTTTGTCTATCTTCAGATAATTCTTAAATATATCACTGCGATATGAACACATTATGAATTAAAATTTTCTTAGGGAATTAAAAGATGAGATCAAAATCAGTAATTAGGCATTCAAATATGCAGTTTATCTTTTGCTTCCTTAACAACAATTTCATTCATTATGCACTCATGTTAATTGCATTCTAATTATTTCCACATTTATCGCATTTTGTGTTTCCCGAGACAGGCGAAAGTGCAAAAGTATTCAAATCCAAACTGTTTCTGAATTTTATACTTCAGTAGAGTAATTTTCTATTAAAATTTCTTAAAAATAAAAATAGAATTATGTTAAATATGGAATTGCAACTTAAATATTGTTCTTTGGTTTTAGATATCAATTCAAATTCTTTTCAGTGATCAATATGGGTTACTTATAAAGGTTTTGAAATATATATGAATGGTATATAATTGTGCTTATGAAAAGAGGAGGAAAAACTTATACAAACATTAATTTTGTAGCATAAATTTAACAACAATAAAATTTATTGGCTTGGAATCTTTTAAATGATTAGAAACCTACAATTTTTGAGATAATGATGTAAATAATTTATTAAATCTCTGTTAAAAAGATGTTGAAAGTTTATTTATTTGCATATGCAGTAGCAGTAGCAATAATAGTAATTTTTTAAATTCAGGTGGAAATTAGTCAGATTAATGGAAGGATAACTAAATCTGATGTCGTGTAATAGTAATTTGAATGAATTAATATTTTGGAATGAATATTGTCTTAAGAAGGTGGACTACTAACATATCAACTGTTGTTGTAAAATATGGATTGGCAGAAACTCTGGGAAACCTAATCTTAACTACTACCAATAGTTATACCAAAGTTTTGGTATCCAATAGCAGCGGGGACATATGTTGCATATTTGAACGTCAAACTGCATGTTACAGCACATAGTATATTGTTGCATGGCAGGCTTGACTTTGAATATACCACTTAAACCTCCTGTTGCTATTGGATACCAAACTTTGATATTATTGAAATTAGTGAAGACTAGACACAGATCTTAATTTACCATGAATAATTTTATTGGGACATCCTTGGAGCTATTACTGACAAGCCAACCAACTAACTCCATTTTAGACCTGACTTACTTGTAATGGGCAATTTGCAGTTGGCCACAATTGTTAATGTACTGATACCAGTCCCACATAAAAAATTAACTTACAATAAAAAAATATATAATACAGGGTCCAGCAGGGAAGTATGACTTTTTCAGAATAATTGTACAGTTATTTGTTTACAAAAAGAAAATTTTATTTTTCCAATAGAAACAGAAATGTATGCTATTAATACTGTAAAAAGCAAAGGAAAAAATTTTGTTGAATCACTTGGATTTTCTGTGTAATTGCATCTTTGAGGGCATCAGTATTCTGTGGCTTCTTGATATACACTTTAGCTTTTAAGTAGACCCATAAAAAGTAATCACATGCCAAAAGATTGGTGATTGAGCTAGTCACTGAATGTCCCTATGCAGAGAAATGAGATGTCAGGAAACATTTTTCAAAGTTTATTCATTGAATCCCTCAATGTATAGGCAGTTGCCTTGTTTTATTGAAACTATATTGTTTGATGGTTTATGCCATGCCTTTGCAGCTTGGGCAAAATGAAATTGTGTAACATCACAACAATGCTGTAAAGTTATTGTTAGTGATAGCTCACTAGTGGCTGAGTGGACACTAGTGATTATCACTTAACACTGGTAGTTGGTCATGGGTTTATGCCTTGCCAAGAGGCTGGCCATGTATGCTGGAGTTTTCCAGGTTTCCTTCACATTAGCAATAGAATAAATAGGATCAGTTTCCCATAAAAATTCCTCCCAGGAGGCATCACTCTTGTCAGATTGCCTGTGTGTTGCATTGCTATAAACAAGTAAATCAACCAACAACTGTTACTGATTGTCCTCTTTCCTCAGAGAGTAAGGGCCAGTTACACTGAACTTGGTTAACCCACACTACAGTTACACATTTGCTATGAACCAGATCTTGATGGAGTTGCTGAAGATTTGTTGAGACAACCAATAACAGAAATTCTTTTTGTTAATGCATCCGAAGACATGAAAGTGAACCTCATCATACATCATCACCACCACAACATTATCCCTTAAAATTTCCAGCATTCCCTTTAATTCATGAAGTTATTTTGCTGTAGCTGTTGGACAGTCATGATCTTGTATGGGTGATAATTTAGATCTAAATGTAAAATTCTTTAATTAAACTAACCTTTTCAACATCTGCAGAGCATGAACATGTCTTACCATTGAATGATGAGAGCTATTCTCCACAACTTGTGAAAATATTGAATTGGTGAGACAAGCCCAAACAGTTCATTCATCTCCATGAGCTTTTCTTAGCAATGGCAAACCTATCATTTGCAGGTTTTTGATCTACTTCAGAATAGTGTTTTGGCTTGAAAATTTGCCATGATGTCCAATATTAAAATGAGTTTGAAACTTCTGCTGAGTGAGAGTCACTGAATCACTATTTTTTAAAAATGTTTCAACAAAAAAAACGCAATGCACAACTTCATTTTATTACTGAGAAATGTCATCACCTGACAAATGCTACAAACTGTTTCCATGGTGATAGGCACCCAAGCAGATGTTACATCTGCTTGGGTGCCTATCACCATGAAACAGTCATACATAATTCTAGAAATGTCATACATTCCTGTTGGACTCTGTATAAAATTTTGAATTTCAAAAATTACTTATAGATTTGTGAATGAAATTTGTCAAGAACAAATTAGAAATTTTATTCTTTCAAAAAACTTTGTCACTTATGATTTTAATATTGTTTGTTCTGTTAGAGAGTCTGATAAATTTTTTGGTGTGTAGAAAATGAACAAAGTGATTTCGTTAAAATCTCATTCCAAAAAACAAATTAAAAATTTTTGGTACAATCAATAATTTCTGTTCTAATGCTAGAAAAATTCACTACTCATTTATGATGATGAAGACTTATTAATGCCTTCATTATCAATCCACATTGCTTAATTAATAGAAGATACAACAAGATATCTATGATAAAACTTTGAAAGGTTTTGAGCAGTTGAAAATATTTTATGATACAAAATATTAAATAGTAGTAGTAATAAAAGAAATTCTGAAAAATGTTTGAGAGAAACTTCAGACATGTTAACATTGACTTTCACTTTACTCTCAGCGAATAAATTCATTATTTATGAAGACTGTAGTAAATTGAACCTGAAGGAAACTAATCTAGATAAATTTTATATATAAAATTTCTCTCGGAGAAATTCTTTATAAAAAGTAGGACCTTTTGTCAATATACTCTACTCTAATACTAATAAAATAGAACGTAATAGATACAATAAAATAAATTAGCTACTCCTGATAAGCAAGATGTAATTGTTGGTTTAATATTTGGAAAAATTTTCTATATATGATCCGAGTTATATTAGTAAGGGATGTTTGTCACTTTGTAAATTACAGCTTAATGATACATAATACTGCCAAAAGGCTGGTTTCTCTATTTTTGCTTCATTTTCCAAAAATGAAAGCTGTTCCTTTCTATCTTTAAGATTTAAATCATTAGAAGTTATAAAGCATGGCATTTTTTTAAATAACAAAGATTCAATATTTTATCATAAATAATGTGTGTTGTTTTTAAAATACATTTATTATTGTAGTACTTTCATGTACTTATTCTAAATAAATAAATCAAGACAATTTGAAGATAGTTTCACAGTAGGAATATATATATATCGTATCAAGTTAAATGTCAAGATGGATTCAATTTTCTGACATATATTTTCTGAAGTTCTCCATAAAAATTTTGTTCAAGTAAAAATAAATCAGTTAATGAAATTTATTAATATATAATTGATATATAAAATTATTAATCAATTAATTTATTTTTTGAAGAATCAGCTAAATTAAATGATCATCACTTCTTTTTTAATTGAAGAGATGTTTTTATAACTAAAATAATTTATAAAGCAACCAATTATTAATTTAAGATCTTTATATTTTTTAATATTAATTGATTATGTAAGTACTAAATTTTTGCCATTTTGGATATCCACAGATGGTTTCCAAATTTAAATGGTTGCATGAGAATGTTTTCACCCTTTTCTTAATATTTGTTTTTGAAATTTATAAAAGTAATTAATTAAAAAATACAATTTATAAATAATTTTTTTTTTATTACAGTTCTAAGATAAAAGAAGCTTTTGAAGAGCATTTTAAAAGATGTTCAATAGTAAGTTTCTATGAAGTAGTAATATCTAATATTATTGATGATTTAATTTTTAAAAAAGTCAAAGTTATTTCATTTGATCATGCTTAAATTTAGACCAATAGCAAGCTTGATGTAATAGCTAGACGTAGCAAATTATGCAGCATAAAATAGATATAAATTGCAATATTTGTCAGATGCTTTACTTTGGAAGAGATTTGATGAAGTACAGTTGTCCCTTGATAGTCCGACGTTTTGTAATCCGACATGCTCAGTAGTCTGACGCACCTCCCATCAAGGCCCCGTCTCCGTTACATGTCTGTTTGCACAGAAGCATGTCGCGACGTGAATCTCCCCACCCAATTCTTACATGATGACACACATTTCATGTGTTTTCCATGAGCAGTTCTGTTCAAACAGTTGGAGTAGGGAATATTGTAGGCTACAGCTAGCAAAACAATGTCAAATATGTAATCACTTTCGGTAATTCAGACACTTTTGGTAATTCGTCACCCCTTTGGTCCCGTACCTGTTGGATTATTAAGGGACAACTGTATTTTTAAAATGATGCCACTTGGAATAGTTGACTGTAGACCAATACCAGGCTGCAGAGAATTTTGAGGATAGAAATTGTGGTAAAATAATGCCATGTGTTCAAAAAACATTTGATATTGATAATCATTATACTGCTAGAAAATGTTATGTGAATATCTTGCACTTGAATACAAAAATACTGTACCAATTCCTGACACATTGAATAAATATTGCCAGTCTGCCCTATCAACTAATTAGAGAAGCACTGTTTTAAAGGTATAATTTACATATTTATCTAAATGAAACAGTTATTTCTCTTGTATTAGAATTAATTTTCACTTAATATTTTTTATTTTCTGTATCTTTTGTACACAACTTCATATACAAACTTTCTTCAGAAATGGAATGTTCATTAGGACATTATGATATAAATTGAATAACAATATTTAAAATTACATGATATATACGTAAGTTAGTGAATATTATTCTTTGATATATTTATAATAAAAATATAATATGCAAATTAATGATTGGATGTGAAAGTGCAAAACAAAGGCAAAAAATCAATCATAACTTTAAGTTTGTTGAGAGGTATTTAAATAGTTTAAAATTATTTGACTTTGGCCATAAAGTGCTTTGCCAGACTGTAAAAGTTGAAGGAATCTAAGATTGCAGATTTGAACTTCCAAATATTTATGAATATTTTGTCATAAAAGTATTATTTTAAAATTTTGTATTAAATAAGAACATTATAAATTTTGTCATTTGTTTAATATTCAAAATAAATAAAAATATTTTTACTAATGGCCAAATATTTTCATATCTTGTTCTGTTTTGGTCTTTTTTCTATCTCTTCAATTGATTATATGGTATTTTTGGGGGCATTTTGTTACAAAAATGAGTTATAATAATTTCATTTGTGATTACAGCATATCTGACTCACTGAATGTTGAATTAGGTTATATGGTATAGTCAGTGACAGAAAATATTCATTTATTTTGGTTGGTGTTGTGTTCATATTTTTTTATGCTTTATAAATAAGTTGTATTTATAAAATACATAAACAAAGTCCAACATTTATATAGAGATTGAAGCTTTATAGAAATAAAAATGCTTTGTAAATTTACAAAATACATACCATTTATATAAGAGCATGCTTTTATGCCTGAGTATGAGTGTAGATGGGGCAGAATTGGCACTATATTTTGCAAAGTACTTAAAAACTCAATCTTAAAAAAACTTTTTTAGTATCTAAAGCATTTCTAATAATGGTTACCATAGAGATGTAACTAAATAGTTACAGTATCAGTACATTTATATTTAATTTATATTGGCACAACAGTACAGTGCTCTTATAAGCTAAAACAGCCTTGCACACATAAGACCATGCTGTTGTATGTGAGGTATGATCTTAAAAGCAAAGTAAGATGTGTGTTTCAAAAACAAAAGCAAGCAATTTTCACATATGCAATTTTACCTAAACCTATAATACAACAATTACACAATCATTTTGAGTTATTACACCATGATTAGGCCTTTAGAGAAAAAGAATAAACTAAAGATAATAGAATTCATTAAAATTTAATGAATTCTATTATCTTGTTTTAAGTAGCCAACATTAAATGTTGGCTACTTGAAACAAGTAAGTGATTTAATTTATTTATGTACAAACAAAAGACTTTATTAAGTTTATGCTTATGTTTCATAACTATGGCAGTTCCATTTATTTAGTTTCTCTTTTCTCTAGAGGCCTGATCGTATGATAACTGAATGTTTATAAAATTTTGTTATAACTTCAGATAAAAGCAGTGTACTTAAACTAAATTATTTAATCTGATCAGTACATTGAAGAGCATTTTAAAAGATGTTCAATAGTAAGTTTCTATGAAGTAGTAATATCTAATATTATTGATGATTTAATTTTTAAAAAAGTCAAAGTTATTTCATTTGATCATGCTTAAATTTAGACCAATAGCAAGCTTGATGTAATAGCTAGACGTAGCAAATTATGCAGCATAAAATAGATATAAATTGCAATATTTGTCAGATGCTTTACTTTGGAAGAGATTTGATGAAGTACAGTTGTCCCTTGATAGTCCGACGTTTTGTAATCCGACATGCTCAGTAGTCTGACGCACCTCCCATCAAGGCCCCGTCTCCGTTACATGTCTGTTTGCACAGAAGCATGTCGCGACGTGAATCTCCCCACCCAATTCTTACATGATGACACACATTTCNTAAATTCTCATTCAAAGTATCTAGTTAAGAATGTGAATTCTATCCTAAATCTTTATTTTTATAATACAAATTTGAAATATGATTAAATGTGAGGATAGTAACATTTATCTAATAACAAATTTACTTATTCACTCTTTTTTAAATTATTTTAACTAAGATAATGTCAAATTAAGTAGCCATTAAACTGGTATATCAGTTATTTCAGATATATTTTATTTAGTTGATTTTTTTATCATTTATGTATTTCTGTTGATTAATTCAAAATTCTATTTTAACATTTTTTAGGAGCAGATTAACCTTAGAAATAGAGTGGAACAGGTTACAAGATCATTGAGTTCTATCAACCAGAATCTTCAAAGCACTGCACGCCGTAATTCGATTCATCGTTCCATTTCTTCGGCCGAACTGTGCCATTCCACCTCGTTTATATAACTAATTGCAGATGCTATTAATATTTTTGTACTTATTTCTTTATCATCCACATTCTCTGCATATATAACATGTAATTCGATTGATACAAACACAATGTTAACATTCCACTCGACGTGAATCTTGGTTGATGACACACATTTCATGTGTTTTCCATGAGCAGTTCTGTTTAAACAGTTGGAGTAGGGAATATTGTAGGCTACAGCTAGCAAAACAATGTCAAATATGTAATCACTTTCGGTAATTCAGACACTTTTGGTAATTCGTCACCCCTTTGGTCCCGTACCTGTCGGATTATTAAGGGACAACTGTATTTTTAAAATGATGCCACTTGGAATAGTTGACTGTAGACCAATACCAGGCTGCAGAGAATTTTGAGGATAGAAATTGTGGTAAAATAATGCCATGTGTTCAAAAAACATTTGATATTGATAATCATTATACTGCTAGAAAATGTTATGTGAATATCTTGCACTTGAATACAAAAATACTGTACCAATTCCTGACACATTGAATAAATATTGCCAGTCTGCCCTATCAACTAATTAGAGAAGCACTGTTTTAAAGGTATAATTTACATATTTATCTAAATGAAACAGTTATTTCTCTTGTATTAGAATTAATTTTCACTTAATATTTTTTATTTTCTGTATCTTTTGTACACAACTTCATATACAAACTTTCTTCAGAAATGGAATGTTCATTAGGACATTATGATATAAATTGAATAACAATATTTAAAATTACATGATATATACGTAAGTTAGTGAATATTATTCTTTGATATATTTATAATAAAAATATAATATGCAAATTAATGATTGGATGTGAAAGTGCAAAACAAAGGCAAAAAATCAATCATAACTTTAAGTTTGTTGAGAGGTATTTAAATAGTTTAAAATTATTTGACTTTGGCCATAAAGTGCTTTGCCAGACTGTAAAAGTTGAAGGAATCTAAGATTGCAGATTTGAACTTCCAAATATTTATGAATATTTTGTCATAAAANAAAGAAATATATATATATATATATATATATAATTTTAAAACCTTAATTTATGTTTAAGATGATGCGAAGCCACACTTGCAATTTCGAAATATGGTCTGTCTAGAAATAATTAATGCATGCTGGCTCTCCGAGCTAAAATGTTTATAAGTAGACAAAATTGGAACCGCGCAAAGTAAAAGTACATATTGGTAGAATTGTAATAATTTAAGTTATTGACTAAAAACAAAGCACTATAAATTACTTTGTTGGAAAATTATATTTAAGACATTATCAGTTTTTTGCACTTAATTTTTCTCTTCTGGACATTTTGTCTCTAGTCATTTGCATTAATTGGAAACAAAAATATAATAATAGTAATTTTTCAGTGATTTTTTTTTTAACGTGTACTGTACATAAGTTATTTTCATGTTGGTTGTTTCTTTCTGTGTGCATTTCAAAATGGTTTTTTTCTTAGGGCACATTTTGTGATAACACAAATGCAATATGTTTCATGTATATAAATAGTTTACTCTTGTTGGATCTTTCTTCTCGAGAATTTGGTTAATTTTTATTGAACAAAATTTCAGATTAGGTCTGTTTATGTGATAGTGGTGCCTTTTTCCATTTACGTCACTTTATAGATACCACACATTGTCCTGCCAAACAAATTTTTTTTTCCGTTATTGTATTAAAACATACTTCTTGTTAACCTTGATAAGTTTTGTTCATTTGAATATCACTGCCTTCCTTTTTATTATTGTTATTACTATTACTACAATTAGTTGCATGATTATATTGAAATTGTCCCCTCGAGGATTTGAAATTTATGGCCGTATTGACTGTCATCATCGGCTTTTTGTTTTATTATTTTTAATTTCAAGTAACTAGTAGAACTTTTTAGATGTGCAATCAAATAACATTCATTATCTGCTTCACTTGCACACAAGCATTACATCAAACTTGTTCGGAAGCAAATCTGCATAAATTGTGTCTGGAGGCAAACCAGAATACTTTGCGTGTTTAACTTGCAAAGTCATTATTTATCATCAATATCTGGACGTTTTTTAGTCCTCATCCAGTAGACAGCGATAGCTCATTTAGTGCTTTGTAATGTCTTCGTGATATGCCGTTTGTCACATTTTGTAGTATTTAAACGTTTTTGGTGTAAAAGATAAACTTAGTGGATAGTCTAATAATATAATAATAATAATAGTTTCCTATATAATAAAATGAAAATTTTAATTCCATATTTACAGTGCAATTTCCAGTAGTGTAAAAATTAGAGCGATTTTCTGGATGAATGTTTATAAACATGTGATCGGTTACCCATTTGTTTCCTTAAGGGAACTCATTTTTTGAGATATTATTATTAATAATTCATAAAAGTTACTCTTCTTTTTTGGCAGTTGTTTGTAAGGAATAAATGCTTGAGATGCATAATGGTTCCTCATTTAAGATTTCTAGTCACATATTTTGTGGCGAGTCAACTCAGGTTTTTGCCTGCGTAATTGCTAGGCTTTGTTTTTCACTCGTGATCAGTTTGGAAAACGTGCGAGGAACGACTCGTGATTTTTTTCCTACATGTTAGAAATATTCGAATGTTTCTATGAATGTATGTGCGCGTGAAATGACTATTTAATAATTCAACATTATTCTATCCTAACTTAGGCTAATAAATGTTAAATCGTCCTTAAAGTTAAAGTTTTTATCTCGGTGTTCTGGTTTCGGTCTCGGATTTCGCACTCCTCTTCTCGGTACAAAGTTTCGACGGTTATTTTTGTAAGTTCTATATCAAAATTCTTTATCCTGCAGTAAATGAAAAAAATTATCAAGTAGTGTAGATATTCCAAGTGCAATTGATTATTGGAAAGGAGATAGAATTTATTGATTATCAATGAGATAGTTGGAACCATCTATGCTATCCACCGAGACATGACAAAAGGATTAGGAATTTTACCTCTTTATCCACAATATATCTAACATATTAATTTATTTTTTAAATATTAATTTTTAGATCATTAATATGCAATTTTTACTAATGGTTAAATTAACGTGACCCATTCTGTAAGGCTCGGCAAAATGTCCAGAGCATCGCTCGTCTGCTCCAAGGAACGGTTAAACAGCATACTTAGAAAGAATGTAAAATGTGGTAGATTGTTAGATTAATAAACCACTGTGCAATGTTTAATTTTTCCCCCTCCCCTTAAGAAGGCCACTTCACTCTTGTGCCACCTTATAAGTATTTTGAATGAATTTAATATTATTTAACTTTTACTGTTCATCTCTTCTGGTATGTATATCTGATGACAATAAAAATATTTATATGGTGTTGATTTGTTTGATTTCAGAACAGCACTCTGAGGTATCGCGGAAGATTAAGCAATTTTGCATCCTCAATGGTCCGAACTTTGCCACAGGCAGACAGAAATTACATAATTATGTCCAAGATCCACATTATTTTAAAATTAAATTAACTTAATGGTTTATAAATCTAATCAGAAGGAATACACGAATAAATCTAAATTATATTATTTAATTTTTTAAAAAATATTTTCTAACATGATTTCAGGCATCTTTCCATAATTACATTCACTAAGATGCCAAAAATAGTTTTGTGAAGAGAATATAATTCAACATTTTGAAAGCAAGAGGACCTTTTAAAGCAATATATTTTATTTGAACTAAATTTAAGTAAATTAAAAATTGATTTTTTAAATATATTCACGAATTGTTATCTCAGCTTTTAACCTTTTACCCCATAGAAAACTGATCTTTCCGTAAACATTAAAAATTTGGCAGCAAACTGATCTTTTGTTTTTACTTAACAGATCAGAGGGAAAATCGATGACGTCGACGGACGTGATCGCTACCTTAGCGCTTTTTTCCCCTCTTCTTTCCAGAGAATGCTGCAAGTTGAAAAATATTTTTCGTGAGCTACAACACTTGACTTTCAGCCTTTTTTTAGAGCAAAAAAAAAAGTAAAACGATTATCCAGCATACGTATACACTCCCGGGAAAAGAAACGAATTGTATCGATCAAAGAAGAGAAAAAATTCAATAATGTTTCGTAATATACCAGAAAACTTCTTAACAGTCAGAATATCGGAATCGAAATTTTCGTGAACACCATCCGACTTTTTTATATCCCATGCGAGAAGAGAGAAACCGCTTCGTGATTGCTAAAAACGAGGAAGGAGCAGAGAGAGATTCGAAAAGCACGGCCGCGGGTCACTCGTACCTCTTTTCCTCCTCCTCGTTTAGCATTTTAAATCTCGACATTGTTTCCAAAAATATACCAAGCCGTAAAATAAAACCGCTATTTTACAGTAGGAGACGTTCTCCCGCATCCAAAAAGCCTCCTCCCCATTTTAAGATCTTTCTATTTTAAGGTAGCATCTCGCATTAGGGATGTTTCCCCCACTACGTCACAGTTTATCTCTAAAAGTTTCCTTCTACGGGATATTTTTTTTCTCTCGTCGTTAAATATTTGTTTGCAGATAAAACAAACGTAACGTTTTTCGAGACGAAGAGAGTTATATAAGACGACGTCTTCGCTCGGAAGATAATTTTCAGATCGAAATTCGAATTGGCATTCTCACTTTCCATGTCCGTTATGACGCCATCGAACACTGCGCACGTCTGGTGCGTTGGCGTCGAGCGTACGCCAGGCTCGTGAGGTGAGAGGATACTTCGTTTGGCAGGGATGTGCACTGCTAGTCATTTTCATCCAAGGATAATCAGCGATGCCACCCAAATATGACCGAAAGAAAGAGACCCAACGAACCGAAAGTAGTAAGTTGATATCTCATTTATGACCTCTTCCAAGGTCATCTTTTTTAAAAATAAAATAAAATCTCGATCGATGGCTTTTCGTCTGTTACTAACTTCATCTCTCATCCCTTTTCTACCCCCTCGAGTCGAGAGAAGGAGCAGCAGGTTGCTGATGTGATACTGGGCAGTCGGCCAAGTAGCAACAGTGCAAACTTGCTTCCCTAAACTAAACGGGCCTCTTAACCGTATATATATCGGTGTGACCGGAAAATTGATCGCGTATAAGCGATCCGGGAATCAATGGCTTAAACCACATCCTCTTTCCTCCTCTTATCCACCCTTTGTAATAAGAAAACTCTTCGGCAATCCTATTTGCTAATTATAATAACAGCCGCTCCCCTGAAGTGCATCTTCTCTGCATGAGTAATCATTCGTACAGGAAAGGCACCTTTACAGGAGCCGTTAGCGGGATATTTTTATCAAGCGAGCGCTTAAACTAAAAAAAAGAAAAAAGTATTATTTAGCCATCGAAATTAAATTCTTTAAACAATGGTCGACATTATGCACTTTGCATTTACTTGAAATTAGAATTTTTTATTTAAATTTAATTTAAAAAACGTCCATTTGTCATTTTATTAAAATTCTCTCTGGAATTTCGAAACAATGTCACTTCATAGACGGAAATGGCATTTATATATGTACGTGGTTTATGTTAAATGCCAAGTTAATACGTCAGAGTTGTCAAACTATTTCGTTACTCGATACGACCCCCTGGGCCTTGTCTCCTACAGAAAATGTCAAAATCCGAAGAGGTCAATATCCTCCAGTCTATGAGGAGGAGACTGAACAAACTATCAGACAATTCAGGATATTTGTAATTTCTAGATAAAGAATCATCCCGTCGATAGTTAATTATTTAACAAATGAATAAAATTTAATTTATTATTAATTTTATTATTTTTTAATGATAAATAACTTAATAGAGATATATTTTATGCTGTTAAACGGACGACTCTACTTACAGAATTGGTTCTAAGAGAGTAAAAAAGTAATAATAAGACAATTCTTTTAGATTTTGCTAAGACAAACTCTTAAAAATCGATACAGGAGCATTACACTCCTGATTTTTTGATCCTTTTAATTTAAAAGTAATGTTCTAACTTGCACTAAACCGCAATTCCTCTTTAAGTGAAAGAGAGTAACTGTGAAGAAGAAAATAAGAAGCATTTAACAATTTATCTTTATTAATGTCATCTTCAATCTTTTATTTTCTATTTTACTTAAATTATTTATATTTTAAAATTTATGAATAATATAAAAAAACTTATTTTTTTTTTAAAAATTAGGATCCAATTTGGTGGGAAAATTTACGACCTCTGTAAAGAAATTCGTGCAAGAAGTGGAATATGGTAAGATATAATTAAATTATCCAATCATCTGTTATTCGATGATGATAATGATGAACTTAATGATGATTTCGACTTAAAAGATATGGGGTATTAGTTTCCGTGTTAGAAAACACTTTCACTCTAGTTGCTATAGTAACCATTTCTCCCTAGTTTTAGCGATAGCTTAACACGACGCGTACTTAGTGGGTTTTCCCTTAGATGACCCCTAGCTAGTAGTAGTATTGGAAATATATTTATAGGAATATTAATGGCACGATGCAGATAGGATAAAATATCGGAGCCATAACGAGAACCCGTTAGAAGAGGTGAGTTTTGCGGTAATATTTAGAGACGAATCGTTGTCGAGAAGATTTAAAAAGGTAGATTTCTACTTTTCTTGCAGATCACACACGAGAAGGAACCATACAAACTAACGATCGCGTGCGTACAGTCACCACCAAGATAGGCGAATCGTATAATACGGTAAAAAGTTCTCTGACCACCCTTCACGAAAGATACGACTCATCGAAAGCCGAAAGAAATGTTTTGAGAAGATATCAACTGTTGAAGAATATGATCAAAGATGTCATCCAACTCGATACTCAGTATTGGGTATTACTGGATGTCCCTCGACAAGAGAAACAGGAGCAGGTGACCACTTACGTCCTAAGAGCTTGCGCCGCACTAGAGAAAGCAGCAGAAACGAGAGAACCCGGCAAAAGTCCAGCACAGAAACAAGCCGAGGAAGAAGCTAGAGAAAGAGAAAGGAAAGCTCGTTTCGAAGGTGACGATTTTTATTGTTTTTAATTAAATATTTAAGCTTTAAAATCAATTTGTTCCTTCTCTTCTCTCTCCTCCAATCGTTTACCTTTTGATGATTGCCTCTTCAAAGAGTAAGATGTTAAATTTAATAGTTGCAGTTTTAAAAGTTTAAACGGCCAGAAATGAAATTTTCGCTTTGGTTAGCGTTTAATTCTAGGGAATTTTGCCAATCTACCGAAATGAAAATCCCTTAAGCTTTGGAAATTAAGTAAAGTTTTAATTACTGATCTGTTTCTAAATATTTTAATTTGCTCGATGGAATGCTCTTTCGCGTGTTTTAAGATTACAAGCTTCAACTCTATCGGCTTTCAAAGAACAAATTTATTAATGGCGGGATCGCTTGCTATTTTTAGAAACGAGGATGCTGCATATATTTATATATAAATCTGTATAAAATAGTATTTTATATGCACTTGAAAGCTATAATTAATTTATATTTTAAAGGAATTTTTTAGTGTTTAATTAAGCAAGTAATGTATTTATTATTATTATTAAAATTCACTCGAATAATTAGAAAGTAAAATTTAAAAAGGTTCGTAACCGGCACACCAGATGGCAGTAAAAGTTGAATAAATTTAAAAAAATAAATTAGAAAGTATTGAAGTAATTTATATTTATATTATTATTTTTTAACGTAAAAAATTGCAATTTTTTGGATTTGTTTCGGAACCATCAGATTTATTTATTACTACTATTAATTTGTTTTTGAATGCTTATTTCTAACTCCGCAAGAGGACCGAATTTGAATATTTAAATTTTAGTGACGTAAAGGGGGAGGAGAGCGGAAGGTAATTTTCCAACCTCGATATAAATGCATTCTAGATCTTATTTGATGCGTTAAAAAGCGGATATTTTTACAGACAATGTAAATTTGTTACTTTTTCTCGTCTTTGTGTATTTTTTCCCTTTTAATGTAAATTCGGGAAAATTTCGAGTTTACATTTTTATTTAATACATATTATTTTATGCAAAATTCATTTTAAAATATAGATTTAAAAATTTAAATTAAAAAGTGCTCGCGCGCGTATGTGTGTATAAAATCTATCTTCTGCAGTTGTGCCATCTAGCGTGTTAAAAGACATCTAATTTTTTTTACCTTTCTGTTTAAAAAATTTATTTGACAGGTTGATAGGTAATTGGGGGAAAATCAATTACATTATTATCTATGAAAGTTATTTTTTTTAATTTTGCGGTTTTTTCAAAAAGAAAAAGTTATGAAAATGAAAGAGAACACGTGATCTAAAAAAATTTTTCTGCGTCATTTCCTGTTAATTTCCCAAAAAATGAAAACGAGGCGGGATCATACGTCATTTCCGTTTTTAAACGAAGGTGGCGTAGTTAGTAATTGCGAACATCGCATCATATTTTGCAGCCGACTACATCATTAAATTCACCCGAATTACTTTCAGAAAATATATACACACGCTTTTTTTTTTTTAATAAAGTAATACCTCTCTTCCTCCTTGGTTCATTATATTTATTTAAATAGACATGTTTTCGCGAAGTTTCGAAAAATATATAGCGGATATTATTTTTATGCTTTAATTAGGATGTTGTTTACTTGTTTCGATTCTTCACGTTTGGCCGATTCGATAGGTAAAAAGTAATTTTATTAAATGCGAACGGACGAAAAAATCTGTTGATAATTAATTTCGGCACCATACATTTTTTAAATGGAAATGGCTCTTCTCTCTTTCCTTCAAACTTCTCAAACTCGTTGAATTTTCAGAAAATTATTTTTAAATCTTTTTTATTTATGCCCGCTAGTAATTTTTATTTCTTTTTTTTTAAACGAATAATAAAATGGCACCGCATATAGTTTATCTTTAGCAAGACATTACCTCTTTTAATGGCGAACATCTAGCTTAATAATGATGATGTTGATAACTAAATCAGTCTACATTTTTATCCTCTAGCAATGCCATTAACAGCCGAAGATTCGTCTAAATGGCACCATTTTGGCAATTACGGTTTAAATTTAATTAACTAACAATTCCTTTCGTTATAAAAAAAAAGAAAATTAATATTAATTTTTCAATCGAGCGCCGCCTCTAGTGTCGAAAAATTCGCATAAAAATTTCTCCTGACATGTTCGGCGTGACGAAACGGTTACATCACAATTACTCAATTTTTTACACGTTAATTGTCACGCCACGCTCATTAGCATATATGTGTTACGTCATAATTACTCACCGTTTATGCCGGGTTCGGTGACGACAACCAGAGTGACAGCTTTCTCCGTTTTCGAATATTAAACTGTTTTGATTATCGTCCCGCGAGGAATAAACAACGTAATCATGTGCCTTGAAAGATTTAAGGTTTAACTGTAATTACCGGGAAGGTCGTTAACCTGCTTCGTATGTCAAATATCCTTAAAGAGGATGATTAATGGAAAACAAATTGTTGTCATGTGTTTTTTGGTGGAAAATTGATTCTTTTTCAATCCTTCCTCTTTCTTTTCCTCCTAAAACGGATGTTAATTTTTATTGTTTCGGGTTTAAATTAGTATTCACTGACGTCACAGCAGATTCGCATTTTTCTACTCTTTTCTATGACGTCAGCGATATCACACTGGTTGCGATTTTTAGGTCATACGTTTGTAAAATTTATTTCTAAATAAATGCTTATTCGACTGAAGTTTCGCGAAGGCATAAAAGAAAAATTTATTACACTCCGATGTAATATTCGATAGCATAAAGTTTTCGGTGTGACGTCAGGATTATAATCTGCCTGATCAATTTTTTATTGTGACATTTTAGCCACGTAATTTATAATGGTCGCACGTTTAAAATTTGAATTTTATGCCAAAGAAATCCCCCACTTGTTTAACGATTGATTACGGAAAGTTATTTATTTTTTTTTTTTATCGGACGTGACGTCAGACCGGGCTAAAGCTATTTATGATGTCAACGCCTATGGGGATTTATTACCATTGCGTGACGTCATAAGCGCGCCTATATCGTGACGTAATTGGCCACTAGGGAGCGCGTGACGTCATGATAGATTACGGTAATTCATCCAATGATGTCACGAAGCCGGCGGCGAATCGACTTGACGGAACGGCGTTACGAGTCGACGTAATAAAGAATGAAATATGGCAACACTTCTAAAATATCGTTATTTTTTTTAATGCTAGGTTTAAGTGTTCAAGAAGTGGAAGACGAAAATATCCAACTGATTAATGATCTTTATCGCCTGTTAAAGAAATATTCCAATCTAAGGAACATCATACACATACTGAACGTGGCGTATAGAGACTCAAAATCATATCCAATCATACCTCGCTACACGATGTTGAAAGAAATGGTTAAAGACGTATTTCGTGATCCCGATTACATGGAAGTATGTCACGAAGACGTACGATAAGAGCCATTGTCGTTATAATGAGTGTGGACCAGTTCTCAGGTGCTAATTGTGTTTCGCTGTAATTGTTGTGCTAGATATTATATAACTGTACTGCCATTTTTTGTGGAACCAAATTATATAACAGACGAGCTCCAGTCTTACCCTGAATTTACACGGATCGATCATTTCTCGGTATACATGTAAAAAAAAGAAAAACACTATTCGGACCATTCAATCATACGCCGAACCAATAGAAAGTAACGTTAAATGGAGTTAAATCGGGGTATGACTACGCATCGTCTTCTATATACATACATTATATATGTGTCTACACAAATATATATTATATGTATAGAGAGGAAACATATCACGTAACGAATTTTTATTTTTTAAAAAATCAAATAATCGAGCGTGCGTAATTTGTTATTTTAAAGTGTCGATGTTGTAATTTTATCAAAAAAACAAGAATATATACGAGGAGGAAAAAAATGGATGTATAGAGTTAGAGCGCAACAAGTTTTTATTCTCGAGTTTTATCTGTAATTTTATCCGCGAGCTAAATCTACAACAAATTATATACACACACACACACACACCACAAACACAACAAACAAGCATACAGCAGAGTGATGAGTCGATTTGATCCTTTATCGTTGGTTTCTCTGCTGAATTCATTTATAATATTTTTTTATTGCAAATTATGTTGTCGAACTTGTAAAGAATTATTTAAAAAGGGTGCCGTTTCGTTCTCTCCGTTGTATAACTATAAAACATATGTTTAACTGTTCATGTATTATCTATGCAAGCTCCACGAACGAATCTCGCCTTCTGTTCTTTGAATTTTCTTGCTATATTTGTGTATATCTACGGAATTTGGATTTAAAATGTTGTTTTTAATCGTAAAAGCCAACATTCCAAGTTGAATAATTGTTAATACCCGGAAATAAAATGGCGGATGCGGAGAGAAGTGTTGCCAGTTTTAAATGTAGGGGAAAAAATGGAGCCTTTCTTTTCAAGTTTGAAATATTTCACTTATGTGATAAAGGATCAAAGTGTCGTTATAATATACATATATATATAGACTATATATATACACGTTGTTATTATTTAGTAGCCACGAGCTATGCTTTTATTTCTTATTAAAAAACAAAAAGAAGAAAAAATTGCGATAAATCGCGCGAAAGATCATCGGATTCGCTTGTTCTTCATAGACATGTCCTATATGAAATATGGATATTGTATGCTTATTTGTAATAAGAAAGTTGAAAATGAATAAAAGTCGATATTACATTCGTGACGTTTCCGTAAAAAAAGGAGAGAATACGGCGCCATTTTCGTGTCCTTGTCAGTAATAGTGTTAATTGTCAACGCGTGATGTCGCTGCTATTAGTAACACGGCGGGTCGTTAAAGATTTCTAGGGATTAATGGGATAAATTGAAGAAATTCGGGGATTAAGTTTTTCAATTTACACCGAAAATCGTCCGGTGTCAGGCGCTTGGAAAAATAATGCGAAATTTTTTCAAATCTTTTAGTTATAAAACAAAATAGAATTAGGTTTTGTTTTTTTTAGTGATTCCTTTAGCGTATTTATTCCGTTAATTAATTTACGGTTTTAAAATTAAGATATCTTCGAGCTATCGTAACGTGGTTTGAGTAAAAGAGGGGGAAAAATTGTTTTTAATACAAAATTTAAAATTAGCAAGACCAAAAATAGGAAAAACCTTCAAGAATTTGAATTTTTATCAATCGATTTTTTACATCATTTTTTTTCCAATGGATTACGATGAATAATTTCATCTATTTATTATAATGACAAGATAATTAAAGCGTTATTTATAACAAGATAAATGACAAAAATGATATTATTATTGAAAATGTAAGAAAATAAATAAGTAAAAACTGTTTTCAGCAGGGAGAAAAAACATTAATTTGTTTTTTAACTGAAATTTTTTCCCACTTCTAAAAATTAATGTTAAGTACACAAATTTAAGATTGATTCAAAATTTTAATAAAGGGAAAAATGATTAGATTTTCTGTCTACTTAAATACTGTCAAGAATCATGTCCCATGCAATTAGAAGAGAGTAATTACAGGATTAATGATTTATTTTCTCTCGACCTCTTAGCTTCATATAAATATACTTTCTTCAATTTATCATCTTATATATTAACATTAAGAAGTGTGTAAAGTAAATAATATTTTTGAGTACTCAGTTTATATATTATGAAATTTTAGGAAAGAAATCAATAAAAGTTGTTTACAGATTTACAGAAAAGTTACAGATTTTTTTCATTGAATAATTTAGTACTAGGATTAAAAAAAACTAAAATGTAATTTTTATTGATCTTATTTCGTTTAAGAATCCTATTTTAGTTTAAGATACTAAATTATATTTTTGATTTGTTTATAAAGAAGTGTAACCGTTGGTTTTATATCAAGCTAGAAATTTGTTACAAAATTACCTTTTCGGTTTGCATAAAATGCAATATGAAATTTTAAAAATGGGTTCAGAAAATAATTGAAAAACAAATATAAAATTGTAATATAAATTCATTTTGAATAATATAAGTTCAATAAACTGTTTCTAAATGTTTTTAATATTAAAAAAAAGTGCAACCAATATAAAATCCAATATTATGAAGCATTTAGACATTGTATAATAATGATTTTGCACTTTTAATTTTCCTTCTTTTTATATAAAATACGTTTATAATTCAGAAACGAATATACTAAATATGGAAAATCATATAACTCACTTTGCAGCTTACAAAAATCCAATATTAAGTGATAATTGCATAATTATCACTTAATATTGGATTTTGTGTGAATTGCACTTTCTAATTTTGCTTTTTTTTATTTAAAAAAGTATGTTTTTAATAACTTTTTAAAACTTATAAAATACAACTTACAATATTATACTAAAAAAGACGAAATGAAAGTGCCAAATCGGCATAAAATTCACTTTACGGCTTGCATAAAATCCAATATTAAGCGATAGGAATGCGTGTGGACATTAAATAATTATTTTCTAACGATTTTAACTAATTTATTGCCTGGATAATTAAACGAAAATTAATTTAAGGAAATGTTAAAGAACAACAACAACCGCTCGACTGACATGGCGGCTGTTGACATAATAAATATCAATATACTTTATGAACTACATAATGTAACTTTAATAATAAATTTTACCTCGGGTGGTAAACATTAGCCAAATTACAATCGTGAATATTTTATTATTCAAGATATTAACAAAGAATATTTATAATTAACTAATTAAAATAATATTCATATTATATTATCGTAAACTAATTTATTAATTGTTAGAGACGATTATATAATTTTATAGCAGTTTTAAGCCAACGAAAACTAATTGAGAATGTCCGCCTACGGTTAAGAAAAAACAGAATAAAAGTTCGAATTAATTAAAATATCTTAAAGGTAAATAAATTCTAAATATTAAATAAAGTTGTAGAAAGGAATTTAATGAATTTTAAATTGGTTAGAATGTTGTTTTGCTTAATTTTTTAGAAAATAATCTTTATTAGATGAAAATGCCTTCTTCACGAAAACCTTCAAAACAACGTCGTGGAAATTTATCCATTAAAAATATAAAAAAAAATTGATGATCTTTATTTTTATTCTTATTAAAATTAATGGCGTTTATACAGCGTCATTAACTTTCAGTTTTTCCAATGGAAATAGGCGATTAAGTGTCTGCCTACCGTTCTGGGGACCCAGGATCAAATCGGGAGACGAAAGTTCCCAGGAATTTCGCTGATATGTCAGGCATTTGGGATCGGAAAGTTTAAAAAAAAAATAGAAATAGTGAAATGTGTTTCAATACAGTCAAGATTTCACGCCGTCCCTTTCACACCAGCACAAGGCCTATTTCATTTAGTTCGGACAGTGCATGCATGCAGCGTCAATTTAAAGTCATATCTCAAATTCCAAAGAATGACATCAAATTTTTACGTAATTGTGCACTAACCGGTCAACAGGTCTGTCGTCGATGACATAAATTGACGGGAAAGAGCCTAAAAAAGATCGAATTCGCACAATAACAATATTAATTGTCGACGTGATCTTTTTATTATGGTCTTCGACCTGTTGAGATAATGCACGTAAATTTGACTTCATTTTTCGGAATTTCTCATTGTGAAAACGAAGAGGTGACGTTAAATTGATGTACTATCCTCTATGCTTGTGTAATGTGTTCCTGCAGTGTAGAAGAGAGTAAGGGAAGACACACACGCACAATTTCTGCGGTCTTTTAATTACATGTAACTTAATATTCTTTTAAAAAAACTTATAGAAAAGCTATAAAAATATTAAATTTAGAGTTAATTATTTCGAAAAGTTTTGATAAAATTAAACTAAATTTAAACAATTCCGAATGCGTGTCATCACCGTGAAACTGTGATAAATTGCCGTAATGTTAAGTCGTTTCCAAGTTAAAAGTGTATTCGAGTATGTAAAATTCAGAAATTTTGATCTTTTTTAAAAAATATCCGTAGATAATGGAAGTCATTTGGGTACGCACACAATTAAAACAATGAGGAAAATGGTAATTATCATGCAAATGATTCTAACGACATACGAATTAATGCAGTAACAGAAATTTAATAGAGAGCAATTAATAACTTTTCGAAATGTCAAATTTTTCCTCGGAAGTTTTATTATAAAATTCACAAAATTTATTTTTAATCGTTTCATTTTATCTAAATTAACTTGATAAAGCAGAGAAGACACTGATGCAGTTTTAAGTACAGTTCTTTCTTTTTTATTAAATTAAATATTTACACAATAAATGTAATTTTTCTACATGTTTTTCTTGGAATTTAGACAAACTCCTTGTTATTTTCTAGAGCCATTCCTCCACGGCACGGAGGTGAAACTTGTATTTTTTGTGAATATTTCTGCCACTGATCGGGTGTGAGAGCCTGCGAAAAAATCAATAAGGACGTTGGGAATTTAAATAATTTTTACATCGAATTTTCTATTTTATCATAAATTACATTTTAAAGCGAAGATGGCCAATATTATCATATAGAAACATTTAACAGAAGTAGTTTCTATTATTTTATACGAGTAGAATTAAAAATTAGTTTCTTGTAACTTTTCGCTTCGAAATATAATTAAAATATTCTAGAATCAAAATCGACACAATAAAGTAATTATTAAATGTGTTTCGGACGTAATATTGAAGGATACTATACGAGTTTTATCTAAAATAAGGTGTGTAAAAGACTGTAAATCCATTTATAAATTAATGTACCGTCTTCAATGGCAAAACTCAATTACATTTTGTTTCTCTGGGGAGAAAAAACCTTTCTGTATATTATCTTAATTTCATAACTATGATATGCGAAAAACACTTTATTTTCAGATGATTGAAAAAATCAAGCAAACAAAGTAAGGATTTTGTATTCCGAAATAACTATGAAAAAACGTTAGCTAAGCATAATCTTATCATCTCAAATAATTCTGAAGTATATCGTCCATTAAAAATAAATATCATTTACTCGAATAATATATTATTTATTTTCCAGATAAATTACTAGTGCCTTTTAATAGATCCCGTGTCTCTCTTGATCTCTCTCAGAATAGTTTTAAGTGTTTTATCACCTGGCAGTATGCATGTTAACTTGGAAATTTAAGTTTTAGTATGCCAACAGTAGGCTACTTTATACAGTCAAAAGTTAACATATGATGATGTAAATATCATTAAAAAAATATGTTCATCCTTCTCATAAGACCCTATCCTAATTCGTCTATCATACATTATGGATAAATTAGAGCTTCGACATTTTCAAGGAAGCACTCTCTTGTACACATCAGTAAACTAAAAACAAGTTTTCAATAGTGATAAAACTGCATTAAATTACGGAATAATCTTAGAATGGCGTCTGTCATAAAAGTTTCGTATATACTTTATCTCTAGAATAAGGTAGAAAATATTAAGTATACTAGTGCATAGTTAAACTAGAAGGGATGAAATGCTTTTTCTACTTAGCATTATCATCATGTAAAATATAGTCACAAAACAAATTCAAAATTCAGAAACATTTGATCCCTTTAAACTACAACAAAAAAGTTGTATTCATACATTGAAGACGAATCTCATCTACAATATGGATTTTTTTTATTTTCAGATTTTTTAGATTTCATCTAAAAAGATGAAATCTAAAAAATTCAAAAGAATTAAGTTTTGAAAACATTATACTATGAATAAGCATTTTAATTTCTGGAAACATTTAAATAAAATTTTTATTTATTATAATTTCTAATGTTTTCATTCTTTAAAATGAGCTCTTGACCAAAATTGAGTTTTTCGTCAAATATTTAATAAAATATATATTTGGGCTTATTACTTGAATCAAGAAGGAAATCGTTCAAATATATCAAAATACTTTCTTCTTACTTAAAGTTCAAATGTACTTTTCATTTAATAAACAGGAAATGATGATAAATAGCATGGTATGATAGTTACTTTAAATTTAATATACTTATATTATACATCCTCATCATTCAAGAAAAATGATGTTAGAACCATATATTATAATACTAATTCAAAAAAGAAATTCCACCAAGAGCCAAACCTATATTTAAAGGATCAGATTTTTCATTAAAACAACCTTACTACAGAAATTTTCAATAAAAAAGGAAAAAAAAAAAATTCAGTCGAACACAAGTAGCTCTCTTTTTTTTTTTTTTACATTCCTGTCAATCAAACTAGACCCTGGAAAGAAGTCCGATCATTT